GGGCGCACCTGGGTCAGCCAGGAGTCTGGATAAGTTCCCTGCCTGATGAACGGGTGGTGGGGAAAGCTTTCCTTCTAACTGGAGGACAAGGGAGGGTTCGCTTGCATCCGGATCATTGAAATGGATGCAGAAAATCAGTTTCTTCCAAAAGTGCCTGGATCTGGTCAGCGACCACTTACTCAAGAACCTTGCTCAGGAAAGGGAGCTTAGCCACTGGCCGGGAGTTAGTTAGGATCTCTGAATCCAGGGAATTTACCCCGCCTCCTCCAAGCAGGAAGGGAGCACCCACTCCTGCAGGGAGGCACTGACCCCTCCCTGGCCCAGCCAGCCCCCCCCTCCCTGCTCTTTCTCATCCTCCAAGAGGGGCTCAGACTGATCCCAGCACTTAGTCCGCATCCTCCAGCCTGACTGACTGAAACTCCGCAGGACTAGACTGGGCTCTGGACACCCAGGAGACGCCTCTGCTATTGCAGCAAACTCAAGTCTGGGAGGAGGAAAGCCATTGTTTCCCCACAAAGCGGTGAGCAGCCTTTGCTATGAAGGAAGGACAGGCTTGCAGCCCTCCTGCAAAATGACCCGCCCCCTGGCTTTGCAGAGAGCAAGGAGGGGGCGCAGGACCCTGGGGGGCACGCATGATCTGAACACGGCCCCCCCCCCTGCATCCTCGCCTGCATCCCAAAGGGAGGAGAGAGAGAGGAGACTCACCAGACTGCAGCAGGAGCCACCCAGGCAGCGAAGCTTGCAAGGGAGACACACAAACCATCCACGCCCCGCTTGCAGGAAGTGACCTGCCCCCCCCCATTTTGTCCTCTCCTCTCTAGGAATTCGGCTCAGGTCCTTTTAACCCTTCGCAAGCCGAGCGCCCCAGCTCATCCCCCCCCCTCTCTCGCTGCGTTTTCTTCCTCCAGAGCCGGAGCGCAGGAGGAGCCCCGCGCATTGCTGCCCCCCCCCAGATGCTGTTTTTGGGGGGATCTGAGCTGGTCTCTCCCTTGGCCTGAAAGAGCTTGCAGGGGAAGCGTGCCCCCCCCCCCCGGGCTGCATCTCCTTTCATCCCCATCCTTGCCTCCTGCTTGGCTGTAGCCAAAACCAGACAAGAAGGAACCAGATCCCACGCGCAGCTGAGCCACGTTCACGGGTCGCCCTTCCCCGCAAGGCTGCGGGCCTGGCGAGTTGAAGGATGGGGGGGTTGAAGGGGGGGTGTAGGGGGAGTCCCAGCGGGGGGGGGGGGCGGGTGCTTTTGGGGTTCTGCGCATCCTTAGAGAGAGCCAGTGTGGTGCAGTGGTTAAGAGCGGTGGACTCGTAATCTGGGGAACCAGGTTTGCATCTCCGCTCCTCCACCTGCAGCTGCTGGGTGACCTTGGGCCAGTCACACTTCTCTGAAGTCTCTCAGCCCCACTCACCTCACAGAGTGTTTGTTGTGGGGGAGGAAGGGAAAGGCGATTGTTAGCCGCTTTGAGACTCCTTAAAAGGAGTGAAAGGCAGGATATCAAATCCAAACTCTTCTTCTTCTTAAACTTAGGGAGAGGAGATTGGGGAGGTTTTTTTTGGAATGTATTTTTTTAAAAGATTTTCTTGGCTTACAAAAGTGTGTGCACTGTCTCTCTCTTTTTTTCCAAGCAACATTTTTTACAGATCAGTTTCATTTGTTGAGAGATTAGGAAGACTAGGGGGAAAGAGGCTGAGGGGGGAAAGGTGAGTGGGGGTGGGTGGGGTGGTGATGTTTCTATTTTACTTAATATATGTGGGGTTTTGTGTCAGCGTTGCTTGTGCAGGTTCTCTGCTATTCACTTGTGTTCCTTTGGTAGTGAGAGAGGTTGGGGTTGGCCTAGGGTGTGGCTGTTCATTTGTGGTTGGCTGTGGTGAACTTTGTTTCCATGTGTGAGTGGGGTGGGCAGGTGTTTTGGATCAGGTTAGCCATATTGATTTGTATGCTGTTGGTAGATTTTTGTCATTGTCTTGTTGGGCTGTGTATGTGATAAAGGGGAGCCATACCAGGGTGAAGGCGTCGTCTTCTATTTGTCCCCATGTCAGTTTCAGTTTATGTTTTCTAATAAAGCTGTTTCCCATACTATTTGGTACCATTGGCCCATGCTTACTCCTGACAGGTCTCTCCAGGATGATGTTTCTGGCTGCTGAAAGCAGGTAGGTTATGAGTTGTTTGTGGTGTAAATGGGCATTATTGTCTTGGAAAATGTTTAGTAGGGCCAATTCTGGGGTGGTTTCGAATACTTGCTTAGTTATTTTACATATTTCTCATATAGCTCTTGTCCAGAATAGTTGGATTTGGGGGCACTCCCACCACATGTGGAGGTATGTGCCTGTGGAGGTGCACCCTCTCTAGCATTTTGGTGAGGTTTCTGGGTGTATTAGCACTAGTCTTCTTGGTGTTAGGTACCACCTGCAGGTGAGTTTCAGAGTGAGTTATTTTCTTTTCGTTGATATGGAATTAAAGTGGGGTTTAGACCACATTCTGGTCCATTGAGTGGGGTTAATCTCATAGCCTATGTCCTCCTCCCATTGTTTTTTGATTGATCTCCTCCCTTAAAGCCCAGGAATACACCACTGCCACCTGAATCCACTGGTATACAGGCTCCTCAGATGACTGAGACACCCTGGGGAGAAATCCTCAGAGCCTGAAACTCCAGGTCCTAGATTACCAAACATTTTTGGGCCACTGCCCCCACTCCTCCCCAGTGCCCCCTACCTGTCGGAGCCAGCCGTCACAAATGGCGCAGTTTAGCATAAAATAAAGACACAGAGAGCCAGCAATATGTTCAGGATGGTATGGGCAGCTCCTTTCGAACTTCTCTTCCTCCCGTAACTTTTATTATCCTTTGTTCTCTCCTGTCGCATGGCCGTTTGCCAATGTCTCACATTACCTACATCCGGTCATGGCTTTAACTCACCCATCGCCAAATAGGGTCATGCTGCCCAGAGGGGGAACATAACTCCATATAAGGCTATGCACTTAATACACTGCAAGGCACGGACATGCAGGTCACTGAGGTCAGCGAGGCACCAGGTGGCGCTACAAGCCTTTTTCATGACTTCCTGGCTCCCACACCTACCATATAGAAGCATTATTCAGAATAGCTGTTTGCACAACACACTAAGGAAGATAGCAACACAATAAATTCTAAATGGTAAGTTACATATTTATTCAAAATCAAATGTACGTAGTTTAATTAATACAACACAAAACCAATGAACTTGATTATGCAGTGAAAGTTCTTCAAAGTCTGAGAGTTGTGTACACTGCCACACCTTTGCTTCTTAGTGCCCCCCAGGAAAAAACCCTTCATGGGGCAGTATCACCCACTTTAGGGACCAAGAGGAAGCCAGTAGTTGCAGAGGAGGAACGGTCCTTTCACTGCCCAGGTGTGGCATTCAGGGGGTGGGGCCTCAAGTCAGCCAATAGCAAGCCAGATTCTTGGGGAACTCCAGGCCACTGCTGAGACAACCCTCCCTGTGGAACCCCCTCCCACCAGATGTCAGGGAGATTCAAGGCCACGGCTGAGATAACTGCTCTGCCTCTGCTGCAGGGTTGCAAGCTGTGGTCTTGAAGCAGACTCCTTTGTCCCTCTCCATGGTGCTGATCCTGCCTCCCCACCCCATCCTGATAGCTGAGGATCTGGGCGCTATGGAAGTCCTCTTGCTGGTGCGGTCATCAATTTCCCATGGACAGAACATCCATGTACTACTCACAAGGCTTTTCTTTCTTCCACTCTCACTTTTCTTCAGCAGTGTGATGCAGCAGCAAAAATAGCTACCCTATTCTAGGCTGCAAGGGATGCGGGTTGTGCTGTGGTGTAAACCACTGAGCCTAGGGCTTGCCAATCGGAAGGTTGGTGGTTCGAATCTCCGCAACAGGGTGAGCTCCCGTTGCTCGGTCCCAGCTCCTGCCAACCTAGCAGTTTGAAAGCACGTCAAAATGCAGGTAGATAAATAGGTACTGCTCCGGCGGGAAGGCAAACGGCATTTCCGTGCACTACTCTGGTTTTCCCAGAAGCGGCTTAGTCATCCCTCGGCCCGTAAAGCGAGATGAGCGCCACAACCCCAGAGTCGTTCACGACTGGACTTAACTGTCAGGGGTCCGTTACCTTTACCTTTTATTCTAGGCTGCATCAATAGAAGCATTGTCCCCGGATTGAGGGAAGAATAGTCATGGTGTATTCTAACTTGGTCAGACTCTACTAGAGTTCTGTGTCCAGTTTTGGGCACTACAATTTAAGAAGGATATTGACAAGCTAGAACATGTGACCATGATGATCAAGGGCCACAATAAAGATGGAACAAGCTTGTTTTCTACTGCTCCAGAGGGTAGGATCCAAATCAATGGCTTCCAGTTACAAGGAGGAAGGTTTGTACTAAACATCAGGCAGAACATTCTGATGGTGGACTCTCCTTCCTTGCAGGTTTTTAAGCAAGAGGTTGGATAACTATCTGTCATGCATATTACACCCCAGTTGAAATAACAATCCCTTATACAACTGCAATATAAACAACATGCATTTGTGTTAACACATTATATGATTTATAAATCTATAAGTGAAGCACTCCAACTATGTCCTTATTCCTCCTATGTGTGTCAGTTATTCTGTCTGTGTTCCTTCCTATCCTTGTAAAATATTATATCTTTTTCCACCCGTTGCTGCTCTCCGTCATGCCTTGGGCGGAGCTAATATCCCATTGTTGTTTCAGATGTTCTCAATTTCTCCTTCCCATGATTCACTGATCTGCTACTTCAACAGCAAGTGATGTTATTTCATTCCATTGTCAAGCTTCTGCCTTGTAATCTCTCCTGATTTAGAGCACATTTTCTGGACCTTATCCTTGACTCTAAATAAATTGGGTAGAAAGGTTCTATTCTCAAGTGAATCTCCTTTCTGAGTGTCTCCGTAAACCTGCTGATTAGAGTGTCCATTTCAGAATGTACACCTTTCTGACAGATAAATGACAAACTAGAACTACTTTTTATGTGTATGTGATTTTATACTAATTTATTTTGTTCTAAACTTTTCAATTTTGTAATTGGTGTTTTTATCCTGATACTGATCATTAATCGTGATAAAATTATTATTACTATTACTATTACTATTACTACTACTACTACTACTACTGGTGTGCACTCTTTGATGAGAAGTCAGACTTGCCTTCTGGGTGAAGCTCCTTCCACATTCCAAGCACTGATATGGTTTCTCCCCTGTATGAATTCTTTGATGGGGAGTGAGACTTTCCTTCCAAGCGAAGCTCTTTCCACATTCCATGCACTGATATGGTTTGTCCTTGCTGTGAGTTCTTTGATGGGAACTGAGATGAGAGTACCGACTGAAGCTCTTTCCACATTCCAAGCACCGATATGGTTTCTCCCCTGTATGAATTCTTTGATGTGCTATGAGACTTTCCTTCTGGGTGAAGCTCTTTCCACATTCCAAGCAGTGATATGGTTTTCCCCCTGTATGAATTATTTGATGAGATGTGAGACTTTCCTTCCAGGCAAAGCTCTTTCCACATTCCATACACTGATATGGTTTCTCCACACTGTGAGTTGTTTTATGGAAACTGAGATGGGATTTCCGAATGAAGCTCTTTCCACATTCCAAGCACTGATATGGTTTCTCACCTGTATGAATTCTTTGATGGAATGTTAGAGTTAATTTCTGGGTAAAGCTCTTTCCACATTCCAAACACTGAAATGGTTTCTCCCCTGTATGAACTCTTTGATGTGTCTTAAGCATAGCACTCTGGCTGAAGCTCTTTCCACATTCCAGACAATGATATGGTTTCTCCCCTGTATGAATTCTTTGATGCGACTTAAAAATGGATCTCTGGCTGAAGCTCTTCCCACATTCCAAACAATGATATGGTTTCTCCCCTGTATGAATTCTTTGATGGGTTGTGAGATGGGCACTCTGACTGAAGCTCTTTCCACACTCTAGGCACTGATATGGTTTTTCCCCTGTATGAATTCTTTGATGGGTCGTGAGCTTGGCACTATGAAGGAACCTCTTTCCACATTCAAAGCACTGATATGGTTTCTCCCCTGTATGAATTCTTTGATGGGCTGTGAGACTTTCCTTCTGGGTGAAGCTCTTTCCACATTCCAAGCACTGATATGGTTTCTCCCCTGTATGAATTCTTTGATGGGAAGTGAGACTTTCCTTCCAAGCGAAGTTCTTACCACATTCCATGCACTGATATGGTTTTTCTCCGCTGTGAGTTCTTACGTGGGAACTGAGATGGGAATTCCGACTGAAGCTCTTTCCACATTCCAAGCACTGAAATGATTTCTTCCCTTTATGAATTCTTTGATGGGTCATGAGACTTTTTTTATTGGTAAAGCTTTTCCCACATTCCAAGCACTGATGGGATTTCTTCCCAAGGTGATTTATTTGGAGGGAAGTGGAATGGGAGCTTTGACTAAAGTTCCTTCTACACTCTGTATATTTACATCGCTTCTCCATTGTGTAGACATTGTCATGGTCTCCCTCGTTTTTAATTTCCAATTCATTACCATCTGTAACACAGAGAGAAACGGATCACAGACTCAGGAAGAAATGCAACCCTCGGTTATTGAACAATGCTAATTAATGCTTGGGACAGAGGAAGAAGAGAAGGGAATTAAATGTAAGGTCTTACAACCGGCTTCACTGCTTTTGTTGACAGGCCTTAAAGGGAACTTGAGTATCAGGAACAGGTCAGCAATAAATCACATGGGATAAAGGAAGTTAAAAATTTTTCATGAGAACAAACAGGCTGCTCAGTAGTGTCAGGCTCAGTGAGCACAGAAACAATTCCTAGTAGACTCTGCCACCATGAGGATGTTGTCGCGACTTCAAGTCCCTGCCTTCCCACAACTAAGCCTCCTCTTCTTATGGGTCCTTCCCTTCCACCAGCACAACTGTCTCTGCTGCTCCTTCTTCTTCATACCTCTTCTAGTTCAGAGAGATGAGGGGGGAAGGGAGCTTATCACAGCAGGAGGGCGAGACACCCTGGCTTCATCACCAGTCTGACTCACCTGTGCCTCTTGGCCTCCCTCTTCTTCAGCTTCTACTTCTGGACTCCTCTCTGCCACAGACTCCCCCTGCTCACTAAAACCTGTTACTTCCTCAGCTTCCAACACCTCCTCCTCCCAATCCCTTCCTTCTCTCCGACAACTTGATGTTGTCCCACCACCACTCCCCAGGCTCTGAGCCTTATTCCCTTGGGGGTTTCCCACCTGGTTCCTCCCACCATTCCTCTACATCCTGCTGGTCCAGTGAGATTTATAAAGCCCGGTTCTATTCCAGAACAAATTTTGTTCTGCTGAATCATGGAATTCACACCATACCAATGTCAGTCATCTCTTTTGTCAATGAAAAACTGACAGAAGCAAAAACAGAAAGAGAAAACCTGACAGAAGCTTCTTCAAATTCCATAACATCCCTGAAGGCTCAGGTAGTTCAGAACAGCTCGACCATGGCTTTAAAAGGCAAAACCGGAGGAAGACTATTCAGAAACAAAAGAGTAGATAGCCCTCCATTCAGGGTTCACTGTGAGGGTGTCAGAATTGCAGATGCTGTAGGTGGTGCTGTTGAGCTTCATCAAAATATTGGAGGTCCATCATATATAGATACGTATTGAATTTCAAAACAGACATCATGATCCAACAGGGAGCCTTACTGAGAGAGTTCATGATCCCACAATTCTCTTCCATGACTTCCTTATGCAGAGCTTTCTGGTTGGGATCCAGCAAAGCCCACTCCTCATCTGTGAAACGAACAGCTACATCTTCAAAGCACACTGGACCCTAAAAGAAGAGAGAAGTCTTCCTCTTAGACGGCCAACAGATTATCTACAACAGAGTGCTCTGGTGCTTTCTGCCTGTTCATTGCTGTTCTGTTTTAATGGGATTGTTTTGCTGTACATTTTAATTATGGATGCACATTTTAAGGTCTTAACGGAATTGTTTTATTGTGTATTTTAATGATGGGTATTCATCTTTGTGTAAATGGGTGCAGGGAGGGGGAAAGCCCTATAGTGCAACCAATGGGACTCGTGAGGTGAATCTGGCCACTCCTTTTATGGTTTGTCAACTGTTTAGAAGCGTATCTTAGCATAAAATGTTGAATTGGTAAATAAAACTGCAACTGATAAATAATACTAGCATCATTCAGAAGGCTGGTGAACGTGACGTGATTGTTAATCATTCTCAGGACATAAACCTTCTGGAATGCCATTTTAAGCCTTTGTTAAGGATAATTTTGACAGAAGTGAAGAGCAGGAGCCTCTTTGCCCACAATGCTCCTTCTCCCTACCTGAGCTGGTTCCAGAGCTGCTGTTTCTCCTCTGCCTCCATGCAAAGATGGATGAAGAGGTCTTGGCAGCATCATTCTGTCACCTGTGAGAGACAAAGGGAAGTGGCAGGCCATTAGCACATGCTTTTCTTAGAGGTGAAGCAGTGCACCTCTAACTACAGATGGGCTTCTGATAAAGTCTCACCTACTGAGTAAATTTTGACATTTGTATCTTAGCTACATAAAAAGGCATGTCCACAACTTAAGGCTCTTGGCCTCAAGCGTCCGCCCCGAAAAGATGAAAAGAACCCACAGGTTAGTTTCCAAATCCACAGAATGTGACCAAATGGAGAAAAAACTCCTTCTTCCTTACCCAGTGGTCTCTCTCTCTGGACCAACTGAATCCCCTTTGCCTCAGTGGAATCCAGCCCCATTTCTGCAAACAGATACTTTTCCTGAAAAAGCAAAAAGGATTCAGAACAGTGAATGGGCAGAAATATTAGAAAAGGAATGGGAGGGGCAAACACTTCAGGGTATCAGAGATCATTCCTAGGAAAGAATTTCAGGAAACTGTCCCTCCTATCACAGTGCCCCTTGGGAATATCCAGAGGACAGTCTCTCTCACCTGCTTTCTCTCTGCCTGCTTCCTCTCCTCTGCCTGACTCAGGAGGAATCCTTCGGCCAGGGCCACCGCCTGGGAACTGGTCTCCACTCCACATTCCCTCACCCAGCTCTCCATCTCAGGAGGAAGGACAGCCAGGAACTGCTCCAAGATCACCAGGTCCAGCATCTCGGCTTTCGTGTGCCTTTCTGGCTTCAGCCACTGACGGAAAAGGAGGTAGAGGCGGCTGCAAACCTCTCGAGGTCCTTTGGCCTCCTGGTAGCAGAACTGCCTGAATTGTTGGCTCTGCACATCTGAGCGGAGAATGCCCTCCTCACCCAGGATCTTCTGCATGGAGCTTTCCCAGAATCCCTCACTGGTCCCAGTTTTGATGACATGGCCTCTTCCTGCTTCTGGGCCAGCTGATTCTTGCTCATCCATCTGGGCTCTCAGGAAGCCTCCAAGATATCAGAAGGAAGCCCTTGTTCGTCTGTCCTAAGCAGAGGCGTCTGCAAATCCTACAAAGCAAATACATTGTTCTGTTATGAAACAGATACATGGCCACAGGAAGAATAAAGTTCCCTGAGCAAGCGTGGATGAGTCTTGCTAAGAACCAGGGCTGGGCTGGACTACAGCCCAGACTCTGAACTGCCTTCAAAAATGGAGAAGGAGAAGTCAGCATCTAGTCCTCCTAGAAGAAAGGTTACTATACAAAATGTGCAGGAAACCTTGAAATTTTCTGTCAGATGAATCAGCCTATTTGCTCCTGTCTTTCAGTGTTTTCAATCAGTGAAAGAAATCAGAACTGTGATTGGCAAGCGAGTCATTTGTACGAGTGTAAATTAGACACTAGGCTATAGTCTGTTCAGCCACAGCAGGTTCTGCACCCTTCCTGCCCTTTGACCTCCTCTCCAAAGAACTCTCTTCCTTGTCTCCTGAGAAGAGACAGAAGCCAGCCAACCTGCCAACTTTGGGGTCCTCTAGGGCTGCTCTCCCTCCCTCCCCCAATTCAGGGCCCAATTCTTTCCTGCTTCTGCCTCAGTTTCTAGCATTTGGATTCTCCAATGTTCTCAAGACACACTACTGGGGTGGAGTCCCTTTTTCTTAGGCTTGAGGGCCAAAGAACAGTGCTAAAAAGCAAGTATAGAAGGGCTCACATTCCTACTGTGTCTGTAAGCACCCCTCTTCAGCTGCTTCCCTTTATCTGGTTTTGTTTAAACATATTCCTCAGACACTGAACACTAATGAATCTTATGTTGTAGATATTCCCATAAACATATTGTGCTATTTCTGTGATAATGACACAACAATTTTTTGTATCCTTTATTATTCCTAGTTTTCTGCTTTTGCTTATACCTACATGTTCCCATGAGGTATTTTCCCTCAGAGCCAGAGCAGAGTGTGGGGGTGCAGAGCCTCTGAGGTTCCAGCAGAGGACAGGAGCCTCTCTCTTTCTGATTGGCTCCCAGCCCTTTTGGAGGGAAAATCTAAGCAGCCCTTTCTGAGGGAGAGAGTTGGATAGGGCCTGATCTGAGGGGAGAGGGGGATTGGGAGAGGGTTTGTCTGAGGGAGAACTGGCTCTGATCTGAGGAGAATCTCTCTAGCCAGAAGAAGGAGTCTCACAGCTTAGATAGGAAGACGACCCAGTGGAGGCTCTGGGGAGAATATGGAGGCAGGATTTAATCTGGAGGGCTGAGTCTGAGGAGGCAGGAGAGGGAGAAGCTGTGGGAAGACAGACTAAACCAGGTTCTCCTTCCAGTCAGCTGGGGAGAGATCTGCTAGGAAGAGAAGACCCCCAAACGAATTACAAGGGCTGAGGGGATCCCCTGGGTCTGTGGGAAATCCTTCAGGAGTGGGATGGCTAAGAGAGAGGCGGGGGGGGGGGAATGCCCCTCGCTCAGGAACCAAAGTATTAGGCTAAGAAGGAAGCTGTGAGGCATTAAAAGTCATAACTAAGTAAAGGAATGAGAGGGAAGGAACAGAAACCGTGTTGATTCTTTTACCTCCTATGGTTGAATCCTGAACTTCCAACTGAAGTACAACAAGTGAGCTTTTAGCAACTGAAGTTTAAGAAAAGCTGTGCATATACCACAGTGACATCTTTATATTTAGTTTAAGTAAGAAGTTAAGGAGAATGCACCTCCTGACCCAAATTTGTTTCACAATCTTATTTTTTTGTAAATAAAACTGTTCTTGTTCGTTCAGCTCCTTCCTAAGACTCTAAATCAACAAGCTTTCCCTCACACAAGATACTCACAAGGTAAAAAGTAAAGGACCCCTGACAGTTAAGTCCAGTTGCAAACGACTGTGGGGTTGCAGCGCTCATCTCGCTTTATTGGCCAAGGGAGCCGGTGTACAGCTTCTGGGTCAAGTGGGCAGCATGACTAAGCCGCTTCTGGCGAACCAGAGCAGCGCCCTTTACCTTCCCGCCGGAGTGGTACTGATTTATCTACTTTGACATGCTTTCGGACTGCTAGGTTGGCAGGAGCAGGGACTGAGCAACAGGAGCTCACCGCTGACCTTCTAATCAGCAAGCCCTAGGCTCTGTGGTTTAGATCACGGTGCAACCCCCGTCCCTACTCACAAGGTACACTAACAAGGTACACTAACAAGGTCTCTACTTAGACATGTCTGGTCTGACAGAAGCATGCGCTCCTGACTTCTCATTCACCTTTCTGTCTCACAGATGGCGGAGGGATTCTGGCAAGACCGCCTCATCCATCTTTTCTTGGTGGCGGAGGAGAAGTCGCGGCTGTGGAACCAGATGAGGTGGGGAGAAGGAGCATGGGGGGGAGAGGTCGAGGGATGTAATTTGCGTACCATGAGGTGGGTCTGCTATATTTAATGGGGGGCAGTTAGCGGGGTGAATCCGCTACACATGGAAATAAGATAAAGTCTAACAGAATCATAGAAATGCAGCAGTACGAAAAGTAATCAAAATAACATCCAGGACAACACATAAAGCCTCAAGCATGAGACAAAATAGCCTCATGTTACACCCAGAGCCTCAAGAAACATCCATGGAGTGGCTGGAATCTGCAGAGATTTGAGCACCACAAAGCTGTGAGCAGCGTTTGCTGTAAAGGAAGAACAGGGTTGCAGCCCTCCTGCAAAAAACCCGCCCCCTGGCTTTGCAGAGAGCAAGGAGGGGGCGCAGGACCCTCCACTCGCTGATATTGGGGGGGGCATGCATGATCTGAACACGGCCCCCCTGCATCCCTGGGACCCTGCAGCCCAACGGCACCGAGAGAGAGAGGAGACTCACCAGACTGCAGCAGGAGCCACCCAGGCAGCAAAGCTTGCAAAGGAGACACACAAAACATCCACGCCCCGCTTGCAGGAAGTGACTAGGGAGGGGGGAGGGAGGGGCTTTGGGTCGGGAGGACCTGCCCCCCCTTTCTTTCTGTCCTCTCTAGGAATCCGGTTCCGTTCCGTGTCACCCTGGCAAAGCCAAGCGCCCCAAGCTCGCCCTTCCCCTCTGCAAAGCAGGCGCCCAGGAGGAGCCCCGTGCGTTGCGCACATCCAGAGATGCTGTATTTCGGGGTACCCTCCTGGCTGGGCTCTGAGCTGCTCCCTCCCTTGGCAAAAAAACAAGAGGGAAAGCTGGCAGGGGGAAAGCACAACCCGCGCCCTCCCCCCTTGGCTATACATTGCGATCTACTCCCCCTTCCTTTCAAACCCATGCTTTAAATTTCCCCCATCATACAAAAAACCAGCATTTAGCAGGGCAGTGAATGGCTCATGATTCTTAAAAGCCTTTTCAGTGCTCTGATTCAAATTTAAGTCTTTAAAACATGATGGGCAAGAAGGATAAATGACGAAACAACACAAGGCCCAATGGTTGCCAGTGGCTTGATTTGAATTAATTTTATAATGAATGATTTTAGAGTGTTGTTTGTGTTGTACTTTTGTACTGTTTTATTGTTGTTAGCTGCCCTGAGCCAGGCTTCGGCTGGGGAGGGCGGGATATAAATAAAATTTATTATTATTAATTTATTATTATTAAGTTTTTACCACGTATCTCACAGGGGAGCAGCAGAAAACAAGGAGGTTGGTCAAGGGAGCCTCTGAGTTTAATGACAAGGTTCAACGATTTGTTGTTCGTAATGCAATGAGTATTTGTCTATGGATGTCTCTGTTTACTAAATCTAACATAAAGAACAGTACAAGAGGAGGGGGTAGAATTATCAGGGTCTGGGGCACCTGCACAGGAGCACCTGGGAAAGATTAGTAGGTGCCATGGCACCCACATGTGCCCAGTTGGTGACCCCCTACAGCACTCGGTTGAACACAGGCCAATTTCTCACGCAATGAATGTAAATAGTTCCTCTCCAGCAGGAGTCCTTTGGTCAAGAGTCTTTGCTCAGGCTACAGCTCTTTCCACATCAGATGTAAGTTTTGTGCTCACACTGAAGTGTTATCGGAGTTGAAATAAGGCCCCTGCGTGAGAGGTACCCTACCCCAGTTCATGAAGTATCAATCGTTGTTTGGAAACTGCTAAATAATTTCCATTCTAGTTTTCTTGTGCCAAGGAGTTTCCTCAAGCTAAGCACAGGTATCAGTTCTGTAGGTAGAGTGACCCAGATTCCCCAGGATAGGTAGAAATGCCAGTGCAAAGACTCTAATGGGACAAGGCTTTTTAGCTTATAAGTTTAATTCTTCCCCCTTTTCCAGGAATCCTCAGAGGCAGCGTATTCCATTAATGGCAGCCCAGAAATGAATTCATTCCCTGACCCATCCCATGAGAAGCCAGAGTCTCGGGAGCCTATATCTCCTTCCTTGAAGCCCAGGAAGACACCACTGCCACCTCAATCCACTGGTCTACAGGATCCTCAGAGGATTGAGGGACTCTGGGGAGAAATCCTGAACCTGAAACTCCGGATCCTAGGTCACCAAACATTTTTCGGCCACTGCCCCCCAGGCCTCCCCAGTGCCCCCTACCATATAAAAGCATTATTCAGAAGAGCTGTTTGCACAACACACTAAGGAAGATAATAACACAATAAATTCTAAACGGTAACAGCTGCATATTTACTCAAAATCAAATGCACATAGTTTAATTAGTACAACACAAAACCAATGAACTTGATTATGCAATGGAAGTTCTTCAGAGTCTGAGAGTTGTGTACACTGCCACACCTTTGCTTCTTAGCGCCTCCCAGGAAAAAAAACCCTTCATGGGGCAGTATCACCCACTTTAGGGACCAAGAGGAAGCCAGTGGTTGCAGAGGAGGAACGGTCCTTTTTTACTGCCCAGGTGTGGCATTCAGGGGGTGGGGCCTCAAGTCAGCCAATAGCAAACCAGGTTCATGGGTAACTCCAGGCCACTGCTGAGATAACTGCTCTGCCTCTGCTGCAGGGTTGCAAGCTGTGGTCTTGAAGCAGACTCCTTTGTCCCTCTCCATGGTGCTGATTCTGCCTCCCCACCCCATCCTGATAGCTGAGGATCTGGGCGCTATGGAAGTCCTCTTGCTGGTGAGGTCATCAATTTCCCATGGACAGAACATCCATGTACTACTCACAAGGCTTTTCATTCATCCACTCTCACTTTTCTTCAGCAGTGTGATGCAGCAGCAAAAATAGCTAATCCTATTCTAGGCTGCATCAATAGAAGCATTGTCCCTGGATTGAGGGAAGAAATAGTCATGCTCTAATCTATCTTGGTCAGACTCCCCTAGAGTTCTGTGTCCAGTTTTGGGCACTACAATTTAAGAAGGATATTGGCAAGCTAGAACATGTGACCAAGATGATCAAGGGCCACATGGAAGATGGAGCAAGCTTGTTTTCTACTGCTCCAGAGGGTAGGATCCAAATCAATGGCTTCCAGTTACAAGGAAGAAGGTTCGTACTAAACATCAGGCAGAATATTCTGATGGTGGACTCTCCTTTCTTGCAGGTTTTTAAGCAAGAGGTTGGATGACTATCTGTCATGCATGCTTCTTTTTTTTTTTACAATAATTTTTATTAGTTTTCAATTACACTAATTCAATGAAAGCCTCATTATAACAATGCCAAATTATAATACAATTACTTATCCCAATCATTCAAATGCCAAATTATATATTTAGGTGACCTCCCGCATACTAGAATTGATGGTTTGATGATTTACTTTATTTCTGCGTTCCAAAATCTTATTCATCTCAATTACACCCCAGTTGAAATAACAATCCCTTCTACAACAACTGCAATATTAACAACATCCATTCATGTTAATATCAAATTATTTATAAAGCTGTAAGTGAAGCATTCCAACTATGTCCTCCTGTGTGTGTAAGTTATTCTGTCCGTGTTCCTTCCTGTCCTTGTAAAATATTACATCTATCTTTCCCCAGCCGCTGCTGCTCTCCATCATGCCTTGGGAGGAGCTAATATCCCATTGTGGTTTCAGAAGTTCTCCATTTCTCCGTCCCGTGATTCACTGTTCTGCAACTTTGACAGCAGCTGCAAAAATCACACTGTTCCAGTAAATATCCTGTTTCGCCTTTTTTCTCTCAGCCTGGGAGGGAGAGTGATCTGACAAACTTCAAAAAGCTCAGTAATGAACCTACCTTGGCAAGTCCACAGATTCCTTTCATCTCTCCATTCAGCCAAAAATAAGCAAATATATTTCCAATTAAATTAAATTCCAAGTCTTTTTAGCATTCAGTCCACAAATAATAGAGAATAGGAAAGTCAGCTCTAAATTTCCATCATATACCTTCTGCTGAATAGAGCTTTCCTTTTTCCTTCTTTCTTTATAACACACACAGTTCCACTTGGTATTATACTCCATAACTGCAATCCAGCTTCACCTATACATACATAATTGAACTAGCATTTCAGGGAGGATTGCCAAATCATATCTGTAAAAAATGAAACTTTATTTAAAGACCATAGACTCCCCTCTCCCCACACCGTCGTTTACACTGATTGAAGTCTTCTTTCAGGTTCAGACCTTAGCAACCTTGCAGCTGATTCAATTGCACAGTTTATTATTACATCTCTTCTTGCACGCACCTGTACTGTAGTCCAAATTAAACTGTAATTAACAGGAGAACCTCTGCTTCCTAATGGCGGCATAGGAGGGTCATTGGCAGGCAAAATTCCTTTGCACTCCCTGCCTCCCGCATTCCATGCCGGAGCAAGAGCTATGTACAGAGACGAACTGTGAGTGGAGCCTGTTCCCCCCGCCCCTGGGGGGAATTTGCAAGGATAATTACCCTCAATCATCCTTATTTTTCCTTCAATAACAATCTCCCGCTGTCGTGGGAGCTGCCTCCATTAAGGCAGAGCAGCACCAGAAGCCATCTGCCATGCATGCTTTAGTTGAAACTCCAGCACTGTAGTGGGTTGGACTAGATGACCCCTGTAGCCCCTTCCCACTGTGTTTCTATGATTCTCCTGGTATGCAATCTTTAAGTGGGACGATCAAATTCTCCTCTAGGGCATATTTATTCTTAATTGGATCCTCTCGTTCCCAACAGCTGATCAAATCTTTTTGAGACGATTTGTTTAAGCTCCTTTATGTTCTCCTCTTTAGAGTCCTTTTATATTTCTGGGATCTGGCCTCTTTAAAGTGAAGAATTAGCGGTGATAAAATCAGGTTGTAAAAAGAATCATACTGGGAAAATTCCTTTGGAAATCAACATAGGCTTTGTGCGATGTAGCAGTGAGGGAATTTTGGGGGTCCTAAAGGATAGTAATACTCTCTGAGCTTGATTGTAGTAGTTTGAAGGATCCACATTGATTAAGTCTATATGACCACTTGATCCCCTGATAAAGTCCTCATATGTCTCTTGGCCAGTTGAACTATAGTCCAGGATAGGACCCAGAATATACTGTATTTTTCCATGTATAAGAAAACCCCATGTTTAAGACTACCCCTATTTTTTTAACCCAAAATTAAGAAAATGCACTATGCACTATCCGTATATAAGATGACCCCTTATTTTAAACTTGAAAAATTTAGGAAAAAATATGGTCTTATACATAAAAAAATACGGTAGTAAGGCTAACCTTATTCAATAGAAGCACTAAATGATGTTGTTCTTTCATTCCACTGTCAAGCTTCTGCCTTGTAAACTCTTGTGATTTAGAGCTCATTTCCTGAACCTTATCTTTGGCTCTCAATGAGTTGGGTAGAAAAGGTTTTATTGATGTCTTGTGACTTATCAAGTCAATCTCCTTTCTGAGTGTCTCTGTAAACCTGTTGATTAGAGTGTCCATTTCAGAATGAACTTCTTTCTGACAGAAAAATGACAAACTAGAACAACTTTTTATGTGTATGTGATTTTATACTATTTTATTTTGTTCTACTCAACTTTGTTCTAAACTATTCAATTTTGTAATTGGTGTTTTTATCTTGATACTGGTCACTGACAGTAATAAAATGACTACTGCTACCACTACTGGTATGCATTCTCAGATGCGAAGTTAGAGTTTCCTTCCAGGTGAAGCTCTTTCCACATTCCAAACACTGATATGGTTTTTCCCCTGTATGAATTCTTTGATGGGGAGTGAGACTTTCCTTCCGGGTAAAGCTTTTTCCACATTCCAAGCACTGATATGGTTTCTCACCTGTATGAATTCTTTGATGGGCTGTGAGATGGGGCTTCTGACTAAAGCTCTTTCCACATTCTAAGCACTGATATGGCTTTTCACCTGTGTGAATTCTTTGATGGAAAGTGAGAGTTAATCTCTGGGTGAAGCTCTTTCCACATTCCAAACACTGATATGGTTTCTCCCCCGTATGAATTCTTTGATGGTTCGTGAGACTTTCCTTCTGGGTAAAGCTCTTTCCACATTCCAGGCAATGATATGGTTTCTCTCCTGTATGAATTCTTTGATGGGCTGTGAGATTGGTCCTCTGACTAAAGCTCTTTCCACATTCTAAGCACTGATATGGTTTCTCCCCTGTATGAATTCTTTGATGGAAACTAAGAGTTAATTTCTGACTGAAGTTCTTTCCGCATTCCAAACACTGAAATGGCTTCTCCCCTGTATGAACTCTTTGATGTGTCTTAAGGATAGCACTCTGACTAAAGTTCTTCCCACATTCCAAGCACTGAAATGGTTTCACCCCTGTATGAATTCTTTGATGCGACTTAAAATTGGATCTCTGATTGTAGCTCTTTCCACATTCCAAACACTGATATGGTTTCTCCCCTGTATGAATTCTCTGATGGGAAGTGAGACTTTCTTTCCGACTGAAGCTCTTTCCACATTCCAAGCACTGATATGGTTTCTCCCCTTTATGAATTTTTATATGAGATCTGAGACTCTTTTTCTGGGTAAAGTTTTTCCCACATTCCAAACACTGATATGGTTTCTCCCCTTTATGACTTCTTTGATGGGTGGTGAGATGGGCACTCTGACTGAAACTCTTCCCACATTCCAAACATTGATATGGTTTCTCCCCCGTATGAATTCTTTGATGAGTCGTGAGACTTTCCTTCCAGGCGAAGCTCTTTCCACATTCCAAGCACTGATATGGTTTCTCCCCCGTATGAATTCTTTGATGGGAAGTGAGACTTTCCTTCCAGGCAAAGTTCTTACCACATTCCATGCACTGATATGGTTTCTCCCCTGTATGAATTCTTTGATGAGTGGTGAGACTTTCCTTCCAGGCAAAGCTCTTTCCACATTCAAGGCACTTATATGGTTTCTCCCCTGTATGAATTCTTTGATGGGTCATGAGACTTTCTTTCTGCGTGAAGCTCTTTCCACATTCTAAGCACTGATAGGATTTCTTCCCAAAGGGATTTATTTGAAGGGAAGTGGAATGGGAGCTTTGACTAAAGTTCCCTCTACACTCTGTATATTTCCATCGCTTCTCCATTGTGTAGACATTGGCATGGTCTCCCTCGTTTTTAATTTCCAAGTCATTACCACCTGCAACAAAGAGAGAAACAGATTACAGACTCAGGAAGAAATGCAACCCTCGGTTATTGAACAATGCTAATTAATGCTTGGGACAGAGGAAGAAGAGAAGGGAATTAAATGTAAGGTCTTACAACCGGCTCCACTGCTTTTGTCGACAGGCGTTAATCGGACCTGAGTGTCAGGAACGGATCAGCAATAAATCACATGGAATAAATGAAGTTACCTTTTAATGAGAACAAACAGGCTGCTCAGTAGTGTCAGGCCCAGTGAGCACAGAAACAATTCCCAGTAGACTATGCCACTATGAGGAAGTCGTAACAACTTCAAGTCCCTGCCTTCCCCTAACTGACTAAGCCTCCTCTTCTCATGGGTCCTTCCCTTCCACCAGCACAACTGTCTCTGCTCCTTCTTCTTCATACCTCTTCTAGTACAGAGAGACGAGGGGGGTAAGGGAGCTTACCACAGCAGGAGGGCGAGACACCCTGGCTTCATCACCAGCCTGACTTGTCTGTGCCTCTTGGCCTCCCTCTTCTTCAGCTTCTACTTCCGGACTCCTCTCTGCAACAGACTCCCCCTGCTCACTAAAACCTGTTACTTCCTCAGCTTCCAACACCTCCTCCTCCCAATCTCTTCCTCCTCTCCCTCTGACAACTCATGGTTGTCCAACCACCACTCCCCGGGCTCTGGGCCTTATTCCCTTGGGGGTTTCCCACCTGGTTCCTCCCACCATTCCTCTACATCCAGCCAGTCCATGACAGTGGGATTTGAAAAGCCTGGTTCTATTCTGGGACAGATTTTGTTCTGCAGAATCATGGAATTCACACCATACCGATGTCAGTCATCTCTTTTGTCAATGAAAAACTGACAGAAGCAAAAACAGAAACAGAAAACATGACAGAAGTTTCTTCAATTTCCATAACATCCCTGAAGGCCCAGATAGTTCAGACCAGCCCAACCATGGTTTTAGAAGGCAAAACCGGAGGAAGAATATTCAGAGACAAAAGAGTAGATAGCCCTTCATTCAGGGTTCACTGTGAGGGTGTCAGAATCGCAGATGCTGTAGGTGGTGCTGTTGAGCTTCATCAAAATATTGGAGGTCCATCATATATAGATACGTATTGAATTTCAAAACAGACATCATGATCCAACAGGGAGCCTTACTGAGAGAGTTCATGATCCCACAATTCTCTTCCATGACTTCCTTATGCAGAGCTTTCTGGTTGGGATCCAGCAAAGCCCACTCCTCATCTGTGAAACGAACAGCTACATCTTCAAAGCACAGCAGACCCTAAAAGAAGACGAGAAAAGTCTTCCTCTTAGACGGCCAACAGATTATCTACAACAGAGTGCTCTGGTGCTTTCTGCCTGTTCATTGCTGTTCTGTTTTAATGGGATTGTTTTGCTGTACATTTTAATTATGGATGCACATTTTAAGGTCTTAACGGAATTGTTTTATTGTGTATTTTAATGATGGGTATTCATCTTTGTGTAAATGGATGGAACTTCATCTGGTGTTCTTCAGATCATTCTCTCTGCTCAAGCATTCCACCCTTTCCTCTCCCCGTCTACTGTTCTAGAGCGGGGAAACATTCACCATGCCCTAAAGAACCAAGTACTTGCAGATCAAGCTATGTCATGCAAGGGATTGTATCCAGAGAGGACTCATAAATGTGTCCTACATGGCAGGGAAGGAAATTCCTGCTGATTTGTTGTCTAAAGTTGTTAACAGAGAACAACTGGATGAATATGTACATAGATTGCTGATGTACTAGATATTGCAATGGTTATCATGAAATGGGGGAGGATATTAGTATTTCACTCCTCCCATTGCAAGGATCATCTGATTCTATTGTTTACTTTCTGTTCTGTGAAAAAGGAAGCCTGTCTGTGTGACTTCCATCTCTGGTACTATTGTATCTTTTCTTTCTGCTCTGTCTTGCGACAAGACAGGATGTCTGTATGAGGGCTGCTCCTCTCATACGTGTTTGGTATGTTCTTTAATCTGTAATTAGTAGAAATAAAGTAGGTATGCCCAGATACCTCCTCTCTTCCGTCTGCGCTACTTTTACTCTGCTAGACAGGGTGCTCACAAGAGAGCAGCTGTGAGTCCCACAACACCAGGACCCCTTTCCGGGAATGCTGCGTAGCTCTTCCAGTTGCCAGAGGTGGTCATGGGGCCTGCAGGAGTGTTCCATTAAAGCCAACTTCAGGGGTGCAGGGGGCCACAAGGAGGGGGGAAGCCCTATAATGCAACTGATGAGACTCGTGAGGTGAATTCTGGCCATGGTTTAATGGTTTGTCAATTGTTTAGAAGCTTATCTTAGCATTAAATGTTAAATTGATAAATAAAACTGCAACGACTGATAAATAATACTAGCATCATTCAGAAAGCTGGTGAACGTGAGGTGGTTGTTCATAATCCTCAGTACATAAACCTTCTGGAATGGCCTTTAGAGCCTTTGTTAAGGACAATTTTGATAGAAGTCAAGAACAGGAGAGAGAACCCTTGGTGCCCCATCTCTAAACCTCTTTCCCAAAAATCCTTCATTCTCCCTACCTGATCTGGCTCCAGAGATGCTGTTTCTCCTCTGCCACCATGCAAAGATGGATGGGGAGGTCTTCCTGGCATCATTCTGTTACCTGTGAGAGGCAGAAGTAAGTGGCCGGCCATTAGTGTATGCTTTTCTTAGCAGTGAAGCAGTACATCTCTAACTACAGATGGGCCTCAGAAAAAGTCTCACCTACTGAGTGAATTTTGACATTTGAGCTCCTGGCCCCAAGTGTCCTTCCCCAAAAGATGAAAAGAGCCCACAGGTTAGTTTCAAAATTCACAGAATGTGACGAAATGGAGAAAAAGCTCCTTCCTCCTTACCCAGTGGTCTTTCTTTCGTGTCCAATGGAGTCTTCTCTTCCTCAGTGGAATACGGGTCCATTTCTGCAAACAGATCCTTTTCATGAAAAAGCAACAAGGATTGAAAACAGAGAATGGAGAGAAAGAATAGAAAAGGAATGGGAGATGCACTTTAGAGTATCAGATATAATTCCTTAGGTGCTTTCCAAAAAAGGTTGGGGAGTTTCAGTATACTCTCTCTCATGTTCAGAGCCCGAGAGTATCCAGAGGACAGTCTCTCTCACCTGCTGCTCTGCCTGCTTCCTCTCCTCTGCCTGACTCAGGAGGAAACCTTCAGCCAGGGCCACCGCCTGGGAACTGGTCTCCGCTCCACATTCTCTCACCCAGCTCTCCATCTCTGGCGGAAGGACAGCCAAGAACTGCTCCAAGATCACCAGGTCCAGCATCTCAGCTTTCGTGTGCCTTTCTGGCTTCAGCCACCGACGGTCAAGGTGGTGGAATCGGCTGCAAACCTCTCGAGGCCCTTTGGCCTCCTGGTAGCAGAACTGCCTGAACTTTTTTCTCTGCGCATCTGAGCTGAAGGTGTCCTCCTTACCCAGGATCTTCTGCACAGAGTTTTCACAGAATCCTTCACTGCTCCCAGTGTTGATGGCATGGCCTCTTCCTGCTTCTGGGCCAGCTGAGTCTTGCTCATCCATCTGGGCTCTCAGGAAGCCTCCAAGAGATCAGAAGAAAGCCCTTGTTCTTCTGCCACGTTCCGTATGTCCTAAGTGTGTGCAAATCCTACAAAGCAAATACATTGTTCTGTTATGAAACTGATACATGGCCACAGGAATGACAAAGTTCTCTGAGCAAGCATGGATGAGTCTTGTCAAGAACCAGGGCTGGGCTGGATTACAGCCCAGACTCTGAACTGCCTTCAAAAAAGGAGAAGGAGAAGTCAGCATCTAGTCCTCCTAGAAGAAAAGTTACTATACAAAATCTGCAGGAAACCTTGGAAATTTCTGTTGGATGAAACCCTCTTCAGCCACAGCAGGTTCTGCACCCTTCCTGCCCTTTGACCTCCTCCCCAAAGAACTCTCTTCCATTGTCTCCTGAGAAGAGACAGAAGCCAGCCAACCTGCCAACTTTGGGGTCCTCTAGGGTTGCTCTCCCTCCCTCCCCCGATTCAGGGCCCAATTCTTTCCTGCTTCTGCCTCAGTTTCTAGCATTTGGATTCTCCAATGTTCTCAAGACACACTACTGGGGTGGAGTCCCTTTTTCTTAGGCTTGAGGGCCAAAGAACAGTGCTAAAAAGCAAGTATAGAAGGGCTCACATTCCTACTGTGTCTGTAAGCAGCCCTCTTCAGCTGCTTCCCCTTTTTCTGGTTTTGTTTAAACATATTCCTCAGACACTGACCTCTAATAATGAAGCATATGTTGTAGATATTGCCATAAACATATTGTGCTATTTCTGTGATATACAAATGACAAGAGAAGACTCAGTCAATTTCTTTGTATCCTTTCTAATTCCTAGTTTTCTCCTTTTGTTTAAACCCACGTGCTCCCATGAGGTATTTTCCCTTCTAGGCCCCTCAGAGCCAGAGCAGAGTGTGGGGCTGCAGTGCCTCTGAGACTCCACCAGAGGGTGGGAGCCTCTCCCTCTTTCTGATTGGCTCCCAGCCCTTTTGGAGGGAAAATCCAAGGAGGGAGAGAGTTTGACAGAGCCTGATCTGAGAGGGGAGGTGGGGATTTTATTATTGTTTTATAATAATAATGATTATTATTATTATTCAGAGAGGTTATGTCTGAGGGAGAACTGGCTGTGATCTGAGAGGGGAGATGGGGATTGGGAGAGGGTTTTTCTGAGGCGAAGGAGCCTTGCAGCAACTTAGATAGGAATATGACCCAGTGGAGGGTCTGGGGAGAGTATTGAGACAGGATTTAATTCGGAGGTCTGAGTCTGAGGAGGCAGGAGAGCGAGGAGCTGTGGGAAGATGGACTAAACCAGGGTCTCCTTCCAGTCAGTTGGGGAGAGATCTCCTAGGAAATGGAGACCTCCAAACCAAGAACAAGGCCTGCGAGGATCCCCTGGGTCTGTGGGGAATCCCTCAGGGTGGCTAAGAGAGAGGCGGACGAACGAAAAATGCCCCTCGCTCAGGAACCAAAGTATTAGGCAGAGAAGAAAGTTGTGCTGCATTAAAAGTAACTGTAACCCGGGTCATAACTAGGTAAACGAATGAGAGGGAAGGTACAGAAACCAAGTTAAGCCTTTTACCTCCTATTGTAGAACCATTTCTATCATAAACCAAGAACTAAGACACTGTATGACCTCTAATAATGAACTATATGTTGTAGATATTCCCATAAACTTATTGTGCCATTTTTGTGATATACAAATGACAAGAGAAGACTCGGTCAATTTCTTTGTATCCTTCATTATTCCCATGATTGTTATTATAAAACTCAATTAAAACTTATTCCAAAAAGACAACATACACTCACAAGCCCCCCCCCCCCCAGTGCTGCATCTGCATAGCAGGATGAGACCATAGAATCCAGAGAAACATTTGTAAAGGGTGCTGAGCGCTGCTAGGAGAGGTTCCCTTGGAGTGGCTAGGCAACCGTCCTCCTTGCCAGGGAACTCAGGAATTATAGCTGGTGGGAAGAGGGTCTCCCAGTAACTCTCAGCACTGGGGGGGGGGGCTGCCTCTTTCACCCCCACCCATAGCTGTCAAGCATCCCTTATTTGGAGGGACAGTCCCTTATTCCAGCGCCATGTCCCGCTGCTGTCCCTTATTGATGGATGTCCCTTAAATGATGTCCCTTAAATTTCAAAGGAAGCAGCTCCTCTCCCTCCCTTCCTGCCGGCCAGGGAGGAGGGATGCTCCAACTGTGTTGCTTGGCTGTGTTGCTCACCCAATAAGAAGTCTAAGAACGACTGGGGGGTGGAGCTTGCATGCCTTGTGCTGATCAAATCGGCTGCGTTGCCTGGGGACTCGCCTTTGCTCAGCACTTCCCAGCCGAGAGGTGACGGTAGTTTTCCTTGAGGCTTCGTTTGGCTGCTGGCTGGGCTTTCTGCCTTTGGCTCAGAGGGGCTCAGAAGTTGAACATACCTGTGCTGAGTGCTCGGATCGGAATCGGATGGATACGTCATCGACTGCCCACTCACCCTTGCCAGCGAAAAGGTTTGTCTGGCACATGGTGGGGGAAAAGGAAAGACGATCTCGGGGGGGGGCTTTTGAATTTGTTTTGGAGGCTCCTTAGATTGACTTGTGGGGGGAAAGAAAGGAGCTGGTTGACTAAAATGGTGGGTGACTGGCGATTTCGTGGCGGGGGAGAGGCTGTGTGTGTGTGGCTAGTTAATGCAAGCTGAGGGGGTTTTTGAATGCTGGACTGCATTTTGTTGCACGTGCTGCTGCAAACTTTGCAGTGCAAAGCCAGCCTGGGGAGCCATCTTAAGTTGAGGCTGCATAGGCCTTGTGGTGCATGTGATTCAGATTCTATTCATTGAACCTCTGGTTACAAAGTTGGTTGGACAGTGTTCTCGAAGCTACCAGCGTGAGTTTGACCAGACTGCAGGAGGACAGGAAGACTGGAGTGCCTGGAACAGGTGAGGCTGCAGGTCCCTTATTTTGGCTGCTGATCCCTTATTTTCAAGGCTGCTGGTCCCTTATTTTCAAGGCTGCTGGTCCCTTATTTTCAAGGCTGCTGGTCCCTTATTTTCAAATCTGTAAGTTGACAGCTATGCCCCCATCCCTCCCAAAGTTCCCTCCCTTCCCAGCAGGGCCTCTCCCGCTGCCTTGGATTCCTTGGGTGGGGAGACCTCTGGTGGTTCTCTGTTCAGGGCTTTCTGGTCAGTCTCAGAAGATCATTTGGACACCTGAGAGGCTGCATGTCTGAATGGGCGCACCTGGGTCAGCCAGCAGTCTGGATAAGACCCCTGTCTGATGAACGGGTGGTGGGGAAAGCTTTCCTTCTAACTGGAGGACAAGGGAGGGTTCACTTGCATCCGGATCATTGAAATGGATGCAGAAAATCAGTTTCTTCCAAAAGTGCCTGGATCTGGTCAGCGACCACTTACTCAAGAACCTTGCTCAGGAAAGGGAGCTTAGCCACTGGCCGGGAGTTAGTTAGGATCTCTGAATCCAGGGAATTTACCCCGCCTCCTCCAAGCAGGAAGGGAGCACCCACTCCTGCAGGGGGGCACTGATCCCTCCCTGGCCCAGCCAGCCCCCCCTCCCTGCTCTTTCTCATCCTCCAAGAGGGGCTAAGACTGATCCCAGCACTTAGTCCGCATCCTCCAGCCTGACTGACTGAAACTCAACAGGACTAGACTGGGCTCTGGACACCCAGGAGACGCCTCTGCTATTGCAGCAAACTCAAGTCTGGGTGGATGAAAGCCAATGTTTCCCCACAAAGCGGTGAGCAGCCTTTGCTATGAAGGAAGGACAGGCTTGCAGCCCTCCTGCAAAATGACCCGCCCCCTGGCTTTGCAGAGAGCAAGGAGGGGGCGCAGGACCCTGGGGGGCACGCATGATCTGAACACGGCCCCCCCCCCCCGCATCCTCGCCTGCAGCCCAAAGGGAGGAGAGAGAGAGGAGACTCACCAGACTGCAGCAGGAGCCACCCAGGCAGCGAAGCTTGCAAAGGAGACACACAAACCATCCACGCCCCGCTTGCAGGAAGTGACTAGGGAGGGGCTTTGGATCGGGAGGACCTGGTCCCCCCCCCACCTTTCTTTCTGTCCTCTCTAGGAATCCGGTTCCGTTCCGTGTCACCCTGGCAAAGCCAAGCGCCCCAAGCTCGCCCTTCCCCTCTGCAAAGCAGGCGCCCAGGAGGAGCCCCGTGCGTTGCGCACATCCAGAGATGCTGTATTTCGGGATGCCCTCCTGGCTGGGCTCTGAGCTGCTCCGTCCCTTGGCAAAAAACAAGAGGGAAAGCTGGCAGGGGGAAAGCACAACCCGCGCCCTCCCCCCTTGGCTATACATTGCGATCTACTCCCCCTTCCTTTCAAACCCGTGCTTTAAATTTCCCCCATCATACAAAAAACCAGCATTTAGCAGGGCAGTGAATGGCTCATGATTCTTAAGAGACTTTTCAATGCTCTGATTCAAATTTAAGTCTTAAAAGATGTCAGGCAAGAACGCTAAATGACGAAACAACACAAGTTTTCACCACGTATCTCACAGGGGAGCAGCAGAAAACAAGGAGGTTGGTCAAGGGAGCCTCTGAGTTTAATGGCAAGGTTCAACGATTTGCTGTTCGCAATGCAATGAGTATTTGTCTATGGATGTCTGTTTACCGAATCTAACATAAAGAACAGTAGAGGGGGGGATAGAATTATCAGTGTCTGGGGCACCTAGGCAGGAGCACCTGGGAAAGATTAGTAGGTGCCATGGCACCCGCATGTGCCCAGTTGGTGACCCCCTACAGCACTCGGTTGAACACAGGCCAATTTCTCACGCAATGAATGTAAATAGTTCCTCTCCAGCAGGAGTCCTTTGGTCAAAAGCAGGGGTCAGCAATTTTTTTCAGCTGGTACACTGTACCTCAGACCTTGTGGGGAGCCGGACTATATTTTGGGGGAAGAAATGAAGAATTCCTATGCCCCACAAATAACCCAGAGATGCATTTTAAATAAAAGCACACATTCTACTTGTGTAAAAACACTGATTCCCTCGGACCAGATTTAAAAGGCGATTGGGCCAAATCCAGCCCCCAGGCCTTAGTTTGACTACCCATTGTCAAGAGTCTTTGCTCAGGCTACAGATCTTTCCACATTAGATGTAGGTTTTGTGCTCACACTGAAGAGTTATCTGAAGTGAAATAAGGCCTCTGAGCCAGAGTTATCATACCCCAGTTCATGAAGTACCAATGGTACTTTACTGATGGTAAAGGTGTTGGAGTTGGCTGCAGTCTTCTCGGTGTCCTTTGGCCTCCTGGTAGCAGAACTGCCTGAACCACTGGCTCTGCACATCTGAGCAGAGAATGTCCTTCTCACCAAGGATCTTCTGCACAGAGCTTTCCCAGAATTCCCCACGGCTCCCAGTTTTGATGGCAACATCAAAAGACAACACGCCCTCCCAGATCCCAGATGGAGGCATATAATTTGGACAAGAAAATTGGCTTCCAGGTGGAAAAATCAAAATTAGAAACAGAACTGTTAGAACCTAAAACCAAGATTTTGTCAAAGATGTATAACTTGCTGTTGAAACGGAATACTCAGGATGAAACGGTGAAATCTGCTATGATTAAATGGGCACAAGATGTTGGACATAATATTATGTTTGTTGACTGGGAACAGTTATGGACCACAGGTATGAAGTTTACGGCATGTAATGCCTTAAGAGAGAATATTATGAAAATGATATACAGGTGGTACATGACACCAGTCAAGCTTGCAAAAATCTATCATTTGCCCGATAATAAATGTTGGAAATGTAAAGAGACTGAAGGTACATTCTTTCACCTTTGGTGGACATGCCCAAGGATTAAGGCTTTCTGGGAGATGATCTATAACGAAATGAAAAAGGTATATAAATATACCTTCCTGAAGAAACCAGAGGCCTTTCTCCTGGGCATGGTCAGCCAATTGGTGCCAAAGAAGGACAGAACTTTCTTTATGTATGCCACAACAGCAGCAAGAACACTTATTGCAAAATATTGGAAGACACAAGATTTACCCACTCTGGAAGAATGGCAGATGAAGGTGATGGACTATATGGAATTGGCGGAAATGACTGGCAGAATCCGAGACCAGGGAGAAGAGTCGGTGGAAGAAGATTGGAAGAAATTTAAAGACTATTTACAGAAATACTGCAAAATTAATGAATGTTAGAATGATGTCAGAATGAAGTTAAGTGGTTTTAGCAGCAATGTTATAAAGGTGTATGTAAAAATCGATTGTTAACAGGTGAGAATCCAAAGTTATAATATATTAAGTTAAAGGATTAAGATAAAAACAAAGAGGGAAAGAAATTGCTGAATTAACTAACTGAACTGGAATACAAAAAAGGGAGGTGTGAGGAGGTCAGGGAAACAAGGAAATGAAATGTAAGGCATGGAAAGATTGATTTGTTTTTAAGTGTCTTTTATTTTTTCTGTATTTTGTATTTTTTCTTTTCTCTAATTTTTTTCTTTTTTTTTCTTGTCTATGTAACCTTTTTTTGAAACCTTAATAAATAAGATTTTTTAAAAAATGAAATGGTCTAATGGCCTGGGCACATGGGGCCACTCCAAGGTGATGGGGGCCCTTTCCTGGGATAGGAGGGAGAGCAGCTCTTGAGGACCCCAGGATTAGAAAACCCCCCCCTCAGCCTGGTGTGAAAATTGTACTCAGTCAACCACAGTTCTAAATTCCTTCCTTGACCAAAAGCACCAAAAGGCAGGAGCAAACAGGCAGATTCATCTCACAGAAATCCCTTCGGTTGCCATCACATTTGGCAGGGTCACTTCCCTTCTAGGAGGGCTAGACACGGCCTGGAATCAACCCCCACTGCTCCCAGTTTGGATGGCATGGCCTCTTCCTGCTTCTGGGCCAGCTGAGTCTGGCTCATCCACCTGGGCTCTCAGGAAGCCACCAAAAAAACAGAAGGAAGGAATCCCTTTAGTCTTCTGCCCAGTTCTGGCTGTCCTAAGTAGAGGGACCTCTACTTATTACAGTGTTTACGACCTATTTTAATGGGCATTAATGATCCTGGCCCAACTGAACTGGCTGCCAATTAGCTTCCACACCCAATTCAAAGTGCTAATTTTGACCTATAATGCAATTACCATTATTATTATTATTTCTAACAATTCGTGAAACCACAGTAAAACTAACAAACATAAAGAACTTCCTTATCTAAAAGTCAGATAGTCATTTATTTTCTTAACATCTAACAAGAGAGAAGTTCCACAAGGCGGGTGACACTATCAAAAAGGCCCCCTGCCTTGTTCCATGTAACCTCACTTCCCACAATCAGGGAACTGGCAGAAGGCCTTCAGAAGTGGAACTCAGGGTCCGCGTTGAACATATTAATCAAAGTCTCTGAAAATTAAATTCATATACAGCCATTGTCTGGTTTCTCCCCACTGTGACATCTTTGATGGCCTATGAGACTGGTCTTCTGACTGAAGCTCTGTCCACATTCCAAGCATTGATACGGTTTCTCTCCTGTATGAATTCTTTCATGGACTATGAGATAGAACTTCCGGGTGAACCTCTTTCCACATTCCAAGCACTGATACGGTTTCTCCCCTGTATGAATCCTTTGATGGGAAGTAAGACCTTCCTTCCAGGTGAAACTCTGTTCACATTCCATGCACTGATATGGTTTCTCTCCTGTATGAATTCTTTCATGGACTGTGAGATTGAACTTCCGACTGAAGCTCTTCCCACATTCCAAGCACTGATACGGTTTCTCCCCTGTATGACTTATTTGATGGGTTGTGAGATGGGAACTCCGACAGAACCTCTTCCCACATTCCAAACACTGATATGGTTTCTCCTCTGTATGAATTCTTTGATGGGAAGTGAGACTTTTCTTCCAGGTGAAACTCTTTCCACATTCAAAGCACTGAAATGGTTTCTCCCCTGTATGAATTCTCTGATGGGAAGTGAAATCCTTTTTCTGGGTAAAGCTCTTTGCACATTCCAAGCACTGATACGGTTTCTCCCCTGTATGACTTATTTGATGGACTGTGAGATTGAACTTCCGACTGAAACTCTTCTCACATTCCATGCACTGATATGGTTTCCCCCGTGTATGAATTCTTTGATGGGAAGTGAGACTCTCTTTCCGACTGAAGCTCTTCGCACACTCCAAGCATTGATAGGATTTCTTCCCCAATGGATTTCTTTGGAGGGAAGTGGAATGGGAGCTTTGACTGAAGTTCTCTCTACACTCAGAATATTTACTTGGCCTCTCCATGGTGTAGACATGGTCATGGTCTCCCTGGTTCTTAATCTCTGATTCATCAGCATCTGCAACAAAGAAAGAAATGGATCACAGCCTCAGGGTGAAACGCAGCGCTCAGTTATTGAACTTTGCTAATTAATGCTTGGGACACGGGAAGAACTGAAGGGAATTAAAAGTAAGGCCTTAAAACAGGCTTCACTGCTTTTGTTGACAGGCATCAATGAACATATGTATGGGAACCTGAGTGTCAGGAGTGGGGCAGCAATAAATCACACCGAGTAAGTGAAGTTAACTCCTTATGAGAAGCAACAGGCTGCTCAGAAGTGTCAGGCCTAGTGAGCACAGCAATACTTCCCTCTGGGTCTGGCCCCTACGAGCCAGTTGTGGGGACTGAAGGCCCTGCCTTCCCACAACTGACTAAGTCTCCTCCTCTCCCAGATTCTTCCCAAGGGATCTTAAATTCCAAAACAGACATCATGATCCAACAGGGAGCCTTACTGAGAGAGTTCATGATCCCACAATTCTCCTCCATGACTTCCTTATGCAGAGCTCTCTGGTCAGGATCCAGCAACGCCCATTCCTCATCTGTGAAATGAACAGCTACATCTTCAAAGCACAGCAGACCCTAAAATAAAAAGGGAAAGGTCCCCTTCTTAGACAATATACAGATTATCTACTACACATTGCTCTGTTGTTTTCTGCCTAGCTGCCACACCTCATAGCCTCTTTGCCCGCAATGCTCCTTCTCCCTACCTGATCTGGTTCCAGAGCTGATGTTTCTCCTCTGCCTCCATGCAAAGATGGAAGAAGAGGACTTGCCAGCATCATTCTGTCACCTGTCAGAGACAAAGGGAGGTGGCAGGCCATTAGCACATGCTTTTCTTCGAGGTGAAGCAGTGCACCTCTAACTACAGATGGTGCGCTCTATGCGTGGGTACCTCTGAAGGTGATTCAGAAACTAAGCCAGAAGGAGGCTACCAGACTGGTGACTGGGAGCAGCTGCTGGGACCATATATCACTGGTCCTGAAAGACCTACACTGGCTCCTAGTATGTTTCCAAGCACAATTCAACATGTTGGTACAGTATTGACCTTTGAAGCCCTAAACAGCCTCGGCCCTGTAGACCTGAAGGAGCGTCTCCACACCAATCGTTCAGCCCGGACACTGAGGTCCAGCTCCAAGGGCCTTCTGGCAGTTCCCTCACTGCGAGGAGTAAAGCTACAGAGAACCAGGCAGAGGGCCTTCTCTTGGCCCCAAGTGTCTTCCCCCAAAAGATGAAAAGAACCCACAGATGAGTTCCTAAATCCATAAAATGCAACCAAAGGGAGAAAAAGCTCCTTCCTCCTTACCCAGCGGCCTCTCTCTCCTGACCAACGGAGTCTTCTCTGCCTCAGAGGAATCCAGACCCATTTCTGCAAAGATAATCTTTCCCTGAAAGAGCAACAAGGATTCAGAACAGAGGATGGAGAGAAATATTAGAAAAGGAATGGCAAAGGGGAAACCATTTGGGGATGCTTTCCGAAAGCTTAGTAGAGGATTTCAGGATACTCTCCATTCTGTTCAGAGCCCCTTGGGAGTATCCAGAGGACAGTCTCTCTCACCTGCTTTCTCTCTGCCTGCTTTCTCTCCTCTGCCTGACTCAGGAGGAATCCTTCGGCCAGGGCCACCGCCTGGGAACTGGTCTCCGCTCCACATTCCCTCACCCAGCTCTCCATCTCTGGTGGAAGGACAGCCAGGAACTGCTCCAAGACCACCAGGTCCAGCATCTCAGCTTTTGTATGCCTTTCTGGCTTCAGCCACCGACAGTCAAAGTTGTAGAGTTGGCTGCAAACTTCTCGAGGTCCTTTGGCCTCCTGGTAGCAGAACTGCCTAAACTGCTGGCTCTTCATATCAGAGTGGAGGGTGTCCTCCTCACCCAGGATATTCTGCACAGAGCTTTCCCAGAATCCTTCACTGCTCCCAGTGTTGATGGCATGACCCCTTCCTGCTTCAGGGCCGGCTGAGTCTTGCTCATCCATCTGTGTTCTCAGGAAGCCTCCAAGAAATCGGAAGGAACCCCTTGGCCTTCTTCTAAGTTCTGTCTGTCCTTATTACAGCGGTTAGCAAATCCTACAAAGGAATATGTCTTTCTGTTATATAATTGATATTATTATCATTCTTATTTTATTAAAATCCTATAATTCAAAGTTCAAGGTGTTTTTTATAAAATAATATTGACGGCATCATCAAGTACCTTTTCTAATTAGTCTGGCATCTTTTTTAGGGCCGGACGATGCCTGCTTTTCAACATCGTAGTACAGTATATCACCAGCTAAGCATCCCAATACGGTGGTACCTCGGATTAAGTACTTAATTCGTTCCGGACCTCCTGAAACTGTTCTTAACCTGAAGCACCACTTTAGCTAATGGGGCCTCCTGCTGCTGCCGCGCTGCCGGAGCACGATTTCTCTTCTCATCCTGAAGCAAAGTTCTTAACCCGAGGTACTATTTCTGGGTTAGCGGAGTCTGTAACCTGAAGCGTATGTAACCCGGGGTTCCACTGTATTCCGGTTTTAAAACAGCTGCATTGGTTGTCCATTCTATTGAAGGGGCTCCCCTGAGGGTTCACTTAGACCCCCCCCCAATCTGAAGAAGCGCCTCCTTCCCTTCAGACCCTCTGGGGTGGGGAGGCTGGCAGAGGGGGTCCTCTTGTGTTTGGGGGGCCCCAGAAAGGGCATCCTGGTGGGAGTTCCTGGGCTGGGGCATACCCTCCCCCCAGAGGCCCCCCTGGCCCCTGCCCCTCTTTCCCAAGGACTCTGACCCCAGGACCCCGCAGTCTGGGAAGGGGAGCTGCTGAGAATCTTTCCCCCTGGCTGCCAGCTCTGCCCATCTTTCCCAAGGGAGACCCCCGTGGCCAGCTCGCCCCCTCCTCTCCCTGACCCCCCCCATGCACCCCCCCCGCTGCAGCCCTGGGACCCCTTTCTCCCAAGGGGGTGGGGGGGAGAGGAGGCTCACCGCATCCCGGGAGGCGCCCCCTTGCCGGCGAACCCTCCCCCCGCTTCCCCCGCTTGCAGGAAATGACGGCAGGGAGGGGAGGGGCCTTGCGGGGGGAGGGCCTGGTCCCACCCCCTCCTTCCTTTCCTCTACTCTCCCGGAGTCCCGCTCGGTTCCCTGCAACCCTTGCAAAGCGGAAATGCAGGATCCGGGAGGAGCCCCGCCCTTTGCCGAGAGCTTTCTTTGGCGGGAGGGGGCAGGAAGGGGGCCGAGGACCCCGGGCTCCCTTCCCGTCCCTTGGCGGCTTCCTGAGAGCCAGATGGATGAGCCCGACTCGGCTGGCCCTGCAGGGGAAGAGGCCCTGCCTTCAAGAGGGGGAGCAGGGGGCGATGGGGGGGAAACCCCTTCCGGACTAGGCGTGGGGCGACCTGTTGACTCTGCTCTCTCCCCTTTCCCCCTTTCCTGGTTTTGAGTCAACCGATTCATGAACCCAGAACTCGTACCCTAAGAATGATCCAGCTGTTGTAGACATTCCCATGAACTTATGGTGTGGTTTTTGTGATGCACAGATGACAAGAGAACACGCGGTCTATTTATTTGTATCCTTTCTTCCTCCTGTGAGCCTTGCTTATAAAACCCAATAAACCAGAATTCCAAAAAGGAAGGAAAAAGACAACACGCACTCCCAGGTCCCCACCTGCTCTGCATCTGCAAAGCAGGATCAACCCACTTTAGATTCCTAAGAATCCTGGGATCTGTGCTTTCTTAAGGATGCTGAAAGCTGCTAGGAGACACCCTCCAAGTGCGCTTTAATAATCTCCTTTTTGCCAGGGACCTCGGGGAATTACAGCTGGTGGGAAGAGGGTCTCCCAATAACTCTCAGCACTGGAGGGGGGGCTGCCTCTTTCACCCCCATCCCTCCCAAGGTTCCCTCCCTCCCAGCAGGGCTTGGATTCCTTGGGTGGGGAGACTTCCAAGAGTTATCAGCAAGGCTTTCTGGTCAGTCTCAGAAGATCATTTGGACACCTGAGAGGCTGCATGTCTGAACGGGTGTACATGTGTCAAAGTCTGGCGAAAACCATGTCGGATGAAGGAGTGGTGGATGGTGAGGAAAACTTTCCTTCTAACTGAAGAACATTGGAGCGCTGGAACTCAGCATCACAACAGAAGACGACGATGGCTGTAGCTTGAATTATTGGCGGCCACCCTGACAGAGCCAAGTGGGGCAGCCTGCCCACTGGCACAGCCATCGCCCCACAAGTGAGCCCCGAAAGAACGAGCTCCATTGGCCCCATGCCCTCAAGGCCCCGTTCCTCCTCCCTGGGGGTGCCCTGAGGACTGGCTGCATGTAGACAGACATAAAAATACACAAACAGTGAAAACGGAAACCTGACTCACGCTATAAATAAATAAGGAAGATGGAGGACCGAGAAAAGAAAAGGCTTCTTCTGCAGCGCAGAGTTAGACCTGGTTAGGGCGAGGAAACAAGCTGGGAGATGGCTGCAGTGGAGGAAAATTATGGTCGAATGCAAGCAAGACTGGTGAGGGTTCATCATGGAGCCTTCCTGGTGGCCGGGAGGGAAGCAAGGAAGCAGACTTTGCTGTCTCAATAATGCTCCACTTTAACTGTCATTAACCTTTTAGAATGTATTAGGCATGGTTTCTGAGTGTTCTGCATTTGTGAATCTCCCCCCCTTACGCTGCATTGCATCTCTCCTTACCTGACCCTGAAAGTGGAACAAATGGCAGGATGTTTTAGCAGCAGAGTGGAAATCAGCTCTCCGTGAAGCTATCTGAGACCCAGGAAGAGGATTTGGGGATGCTCTTCCTCACTGAAGGCGAGGTTGCCAGGGCAATGCTGGACACCTGAGACCTGAAATGGTCTAATGGCCTGGGCACATGGGGCCACTCCAAGGTGATGGGGGCTCTTTCCTGGGGTAGGAGGGAGAGCAGCTCTTGAGGACCCCAGGATTAGAAAACGCCCCCCCCTCAGCCTGGTGTGAAACGTGTCCTCAGTCAACCCCAGGGCTAAATTCCATCGATGACCAAAATCACCACAAGGCAGGAGCAAACAGGCAGACTCATCTCCCAGAAATCCCTTCGGTTGCCATCACATTTGGCAGGGTCACTTCCCTTCTAGGAGGGCTAGACACGGCCTGGAATCAACCCCCACTGCTCCCAGTTTGGATGGCATGGCCTCTTCCTGCTTCTGGGCCAGCTGAGTCTGGCTCATCCACCTGGGCTCTCAGGAAGCCTCCAAGATATCAGAAGGAAGGAATCCCTTTAGTCTTCTGCCCAGTTCTGTCTGTCCTAAGTAGAGGGACCTCTACTTATTACATTGTTTACGACCTATTTTGACGGGCATTAATGATCCTGGCCCAACTGAACTGGCTGCCAATTAGCTTCCACACCCAACTCAAAGTGCCAGTTTTGACCTATAATGCCATTACCATTATTTTTATTATTTCTAACAATTCATGAAACCACAGTAAAACTAACAAACATTAAAAACTTCCTTATCTTAAAGTCAGATAGTTGTTTATTTTCTTAACATCTAAAAAGAGGGAGTTCCACAAGGCGGGTGACACTATCCAAAAGGCCCCCTGCCTTGTTCCATGTAACCTCACTTCCCACAATCAGGGAACTGGCAGAAGGCCTTCAGAAGTGGAACTCAGGATCCAGGTGGAACATATTAATCAAAGTCTCTGAAAATTATTCATATACAGCCATTGTCTGGTTTCTCCCCACTGTGACATCTTTGATGGCCTATGAGACTGGTCTTCTGACCAAAGCTCTGTCCACATTCCAAGCATTGATATGGTTTCTCTCCTGTATGAATTCTTTCATGGACTATGAGATAGAACTTCCGGGTGAACCTCTTTCCACATTCCAAGCACTGATATGGTTTCTCCCCTGTATGAATTCTTTGATGGGAAGTGAGACCTTCCTTCCAGGTGAAACTCTGTCCACATTCCAAGCATTGATATGGTTTCTCTCCTGTATGAATTCTTTCATGGGCTGTGAGATTGAACTTCCGATTGAAGCTCTTCTCACATTCCAAGCACTGATATGGTTTCTCCCCTGTATGAATTCTCTGATGGGAAGTGAGATCCTTTTTCTGGGTAAAGCTCTGTCCACATTCCAAGCACTGATACGGTTTCTCTCCTGTATGAATCCTTTGATGGCCTATGAGACTGGTCTTCTGACCGAAGCTCTGTCCACATTCCAAGCATTGATATGGTTTCTCTCCTGTATGAATTCTTTCATGGACTGTGAGATTGAATTTCCGACTGAAGCTCTTCACACATTCCAAGCACTGATAGGATTTCTTCTCCAATGGATTTCTTCGGAGGGAGCTTTGACTGAAGTTCTCTCTACACTCAGAATATTTACATTGCTTCTCTATGGTGTAGACATGGTCATGGTCTCCCTGGTTCTTAATCTCTGATTCATCACCATCTGCAACAAAGAAAGAAACGGATCACAGCCTCAGGGAGAAACGCAACCCTCGGTTATTGAACTTTGCTAATTAAAGCTTGGGACATAGGAAGAACTGAACTGAATTAAAAGTAAGGCCTTACAACAGGCTTCACTGCTTTTGTTGACAGGCATCAATGAACATATGTATGGGAAACTGAGTGTCAGGAGTGGGGCAGCAATAAATCACACAAAGTGAAGTTAACTCCTTATGAGAAGCAAGAGGCTGCTCAGAAGTGTCAGGCCTAGTGAGCACAGCAATACTTCCCTCTGGGTCTGGCCCCTATGAGCCAGTTGTGGGGACTGAAGGCCCTGCCTTCCCACAACTGACTAAGTCTCCTCCTCTCCCAGATTCTTCCCAAGGGATCTTTACTTCCAAAACAGACATCATGATCCAACAGGGAGCCTTACTGAGAGAGTTCATGATCCCACAATTCTCCTCCATGACTTCCTTATGCAGAGCTCTCTGGTCAGGATCCAGCAACGCCCACTCCTCGTCTGCAAAATGAACAGCTATATCTTCAAAACATACTAGGCCCTAAAAGAAGAAAAGTCTTGCTCTCAGGCAGCAGAAATATAATCTTCTACACATTGTTTTGTTGTTTTGTGTCTGTTTGTTGCTGTATGGTTTTAATGGGATTGTCTGGCTGTACATTTTAATTATGGATGTACGTTTTAACCTCTTAATGGAATTGTTTTATTGTGTATTTTATTGATGGATATTCATCTTTGTGTAAATGGGTGGAACTCCACCTGGTGTTTTTCAGATCCTTCTCTCTGCTCAACATTCCCCCCTTTCCTCTCCCCCTCTACTGTTCTGGAGGGGGAAACCTTCGCCATGCCCTACAGCCAACTTCAGGGTTGCAGGGGGTCACAGGGAGGGGAAGGAGGGGGAAAGCCCTATAGTGCAACTGATGGGACTCGTTGGGTGAATTCTGGCCACTCTTTTTTATGGTTTGTCAGCTGTTGAGAAGCCTATCTTAGTATTAAATGTTAAATTGGTAAATAAAACTGAAGCTACTGATAGATAATACTAGCATCATTCAGAAGGCTAGTGAACGTGAGGTGACTGTTAATCATTCTCAGGACATGGCATGGAATGGCATTTTAAGCCTTTTGACAGAAGTCAAGGAGCTTCTTTGCCCGCAATGCTCCTTCTCCCTACCTGATCTGGTTCCAGAGCTGATGTTTCTCCTCTGCCTCCATGCAAAGATGGAAGAAGAGGACTTGCCAGCATCATTCTGTCACCTGTCAGAGACAAAGGGAAGTGGCCATTAGCACATGCGTTTCTTTGAGGTGAAGCAGTGCACCTCTAACTACAGATGGTGCGCTCTATGCGTGGGTACCTCTGAAGGTGACTCAGAAACTAAGCCAGAAGGAGGCTACCAGACTGGTGACTGGGAGCAGCTGCTGGGACCATATAACACTGGTCCTGAAAGACCTACACTGGCTCCTAGTATGTTTCCAAGCACAATTCAACATGTTGGTACAGTATTGACCTTTGAAGCCCTAAACAGCCTCGGCCCTGTAGACCTGAAGGAGCGTCTCCACACCAATCGTTCAGCCCGGACACTGAGGTCCAGCTCCAAGGGCCTTCTGGCAGTTCCCTCACTGTGAGGAGTAAAGCTACAGAGAACCAGGCAGAGGGCCTTCTCTTGGCCCCAAGTGTCTTCCCCCCAAAAGATGAAAAGAACCCACAGATGAGTTCCTAAATCCATAAAATGCAACCAAAGGGAGAAAAAGCTCCTTCCTCCTTACCCAGCGGCCTCTCTCTCCTGACCAACGGAGTCTTCTCTGCCTCAGAGGAATCCAGACCCATTTCTGCAAAGATAATCTTTCCCTGAAAGAGCAACAGGGATTCAGAACAGAGGATGGAGAGAAATATTAGAAAAGGAATGGCAAAGGGAAAACCATTTGGGGATGCTTTCCAAAAGCTTAGTAGAGGATTTCAGGATACTCTCCCTCCTGTTCAGAGCCCCTTTGGAGTATCCAGAGGAAAGTCTCTCTCACCTGCTGCTCTGCCTGCTTCCTCTCCTCTGCCTGACTCAGGAGGAATCCTTCGGCCAGGGCCACCGCCTGGGAACTGGTCTCCGCTCCACATTCCCTCACCCAGCTCTCCATCTCTGGTGGAAGGACAGCCAGGAACTGCTCCAAGACCACCAGGTCCAGCATCTCAGCTTTCGTGTGCCTTTCTGGCTTCAGCCACTGATGGCAAAGGTGGTGGAGTTGGCTGCAAATTTCTCGGGGTCCTTTGGCCTCCTGGTAGCAGAACTGCCTGAACTGCTGGCTCTTCATATCAGAGTGGAGGGTGTCCTCCTCACCCAGGATCTTCTGCACAGAGCTTTCCCAGAATCCTTCACTGCTCCCAGTGTTGATGGCATGACCCCTTCCTGCTTCAGGGCCGGCTGAGTCTTGCTCATCCATCTGTGTTCTCAGGAAGCCTCCAAGAAATCGGAAGGAACCACTTGGCCTTCTTCTAAGTTCTGTCTGTCCTTATTAAAGCGGCTAGCAAATCCTACAAAGGAATACGTCTTTCTTGTATAAAATTGATATTATTATCATTCTTATTTTATTAAAATCCTATAATTCAAAGTTCAAGGTGTTTTTTTAAAAATAATATTGACGGCATCATCAAGTACCTTTTCTAATTAGTCTGGCATCTTTTTTAGGGCCGGACGATGCCTGCTTTTCAACATCATAATACAGTATATCACCAGCATCCCAATACGGTGGTACCTCGGGTTAAGTTCTTAATTCGTTCCGGACCTCCTGAAACTGTTCTTAACCTGAAGCACCACTTTAGCTAATGGGGCCTCCTGCTGCTGCGCGCTGCCGGAGCACGATTTCTCTTCTCATCCTGAAGCAAAGTTCTTAATCCGAGGTACTATTTCTGGGTTAGCGGAGTCTGTAACCTGAAGCGTATGTAACCCGGGGTTCCACTGTATTCCGGTTTTAAAACAGCTGCATTGGTTGTCCATGCTATTGAAGGGGCTCCCCTGAGGGTTCACTTAGACCCCCCCCCCAATCTGAAGAAGCGCCTCCTTCCCTTCAGACCCTCTGGGGTGGGGAGGCTGGCAGAGGGGGTCCTCTTGTGTTTGGGGGGCCCCAGAAAGGGCATCCTGGTGGGAGTTCCTGGGCTGGGGCATACCCTCCCCCCAGAGGCCCCCCTGGCCCCTGCCCCTCTTTCCCAAGGACTCTGACCCCAGGACCCCCAGGACCCCGCAGTCTGGGAAGGGGAGCTGCTGAGAATCTTTCCCCCTGGCTGCCAGCTCTGCCCATCTTTCCCAAGGGAGACCCCCGTGGCCAGCTCGCCCCCTCCCTGACCCCCCCATGCACCCCCCCGCTGCAGCCCTGGGACCCCTTTCTCCCAAGGGGGTGGGGGGGAGAGGAGGCTCACCGCATCCCGGGAGGCGCCCCCTTGCCGGCGAAACTCCCCCCGCTTGCAGGAAATGACGGGAGGGAGGGAGGGAGGGGAGGGGCCTTGCGGGGGGGGGAGGGCCTGGTCCCACCCCCTCCTTCCTTTCCTCTACTCTCCCGGAGTCCCGCTCACTTCCCGGCAACCCTTGCAAAGCGGAAAGGCAGAAGCCGGGAGGAGCCCCGCCCTTTGCAGAGAGCTTTCTTTTGCGGGAGGGGGCCAGAAGGGGGCCGAGGACCAAGGCCTTCCTCCGGTCTTATGGAGGCTTCCAAGGGAAAACACCTGCAGTTCAGATCTGACGATCCTGCAGCTCAGGCAGTTCTGCTGCCTGGAGGCCAAAGGACCCTGAGAAGCTTGCAACCGGCTCCTGCAGTCTTGCTAGGAACCAAGCCCGGACTCCCCCACAGTCCAGATTCCGAGCTTTCTTTAAGTACAGAAGGAATATTGCAGAAGGAATATTGTATCGGTTGGGGGGGGCTGTTGCCCCTCCTGCAGATATCATGAACATGCAGCCCACTACCAAAATCAGCACAATCACTTTTGTGACTTTTGTGATTTGTCCCCACAAAACATTTCATCACAGTTTCTTCCTGTCTATTCAAAGGGCCTTTGCTGCACGATACCAAATGTAACAATTCGCTGATAAATGTACCTATGTACTGGCTCACTGGGAAAACCTCAGAAATTCATCTAGACATGTGAGCTCAGCTCCTCAGCAGCCCCTCTGCCTGAGGGATAATCCCTGGCATCCTGAGACCTGAGTGCCAGACAGGTAGCCATTCCAGAAATAACAAACCCAGATGAAGACAAAAGGGTGGGATTAACTTGGCTGGGAAACAGGGAAATGTAAATGTTTCTTTTCTTACACTTGATGGGTGTTTGGTGGAGGGCAGGTGGAACCATGGGGCAGGGTCCAGGATGCTCAGATTACTGCCACCAGACCTCCCCTTTCATGATGTAACCATGATGTATGAGTGATGTAGTCTTAGGGGTGTAACATGGGGATTAGCATCTAATAAAAGTTTGGGTTCTCTTTTGTTCGGGGCTTCCATCTTGTTTCACCTGGTGGCAGGTGGGAGTCCTGTCGCAACTGTCTTCAATAAAGACCAAGCCGACTGGCTGCTGTTTTGCTCTGGTATTCCTGGCTGGTGTCCTTGTTTTTTGTCCAAGCGAGCCCTCAGATTTCTCCGTTAACAGGAAGAAGCTGAAGTAAACCTCTAGCCCTCCTAGAGGGACAGTGACCACTCAAAATATGCAGGCAACTGAAGGGGTTAATGGGGGCACCCACAGGAAGATGATGGCTTGCTAGCAAAGGACCCTGTGTGAGAGGCAAGGGAGGGAGGGAAGCTTTTGGGGTTAGCCAGGATTTTTTTGGGGGGGGAAGAACCTCCTTAGCTATGTACTTTTGATTTTTTTTTAAATTGGGGGTGGGCAGCTGTCCCTCCTTGCTGCCCCTTGGCTATGCCCATGGGCTGGGAGAAGAAAGGGCAGCTCCCAGGTGAGAGCTGGGAGGGCCTACCTGCTTCTCTGAGAGACAAGGATCAAGATCTGCCTTTGAGAGCCCTCTGAACTTTCCCCCATGGAGCCCCCGCTCCTGTTCTCACAAGGGCCAACCAGGGGCCTCCTCTGGGAAGCCCCCCCAGCAAGACTGGAGCGCAAGGGCAACACTTTCCACCTGTGGTGCCCAGCACCTGGGATTTGGAAGCACTGCAGAGCACAGCCCAAAGGGCAAGGAGCCGCCCACAGTTCCACACATTGGTCACGTGCTTTTTTAAAAGCCATCTAGCTTGGTGGGCATCTATGAAGAAGCACTTTCTTCTCTCTGCCCTCCATCTTCCAACAGTCCTTATTTATTTACTGCACAGGTCAGGTTTTTGTCTTTGTATTTTGTGCATATTCTATGTCCAAATGTTTCCGTCTGCCCACAACTCCTGTTAATAAAAGGAGCCTCTGCACAGCTAGTCGGCAGCTTGCTTGGAGCATGCTTGTCAGCTTGCTTCTGCACAGCTCACCTCCATCCGACCTCCCGTCCTGTTATTCCTACACAAATGTTTCCGTCTGCCCACAACTCCTGTTAATAAAAGGAGCCTCTGCACAGCTCACCTGCATCCAACCTCCCGTCGTCCTCTGTTATTCCTACACAAATGTTTCCATCTGCCCACAACTTCTGTTAATAAATGTGACTTATTCATCAATCTGAATGGGGTTTATTTGCATGAAATCTTTCCTGACCCAAAGACACACACACACACACCGCAGAAGTGGCAAGCAGTGTATGGATCTAAAGGAAGACTACAGTGGTACCTCGGGTTAAATACGCTTCAGGTTACATATGCTTCAGGTTACAGACTCCGCTAACCCAGAAGTAGTGCTTCAGGTTAAGAACTTTGCTTCAGGATGAGAACAGAAATCGTGCTCCGGCGGTGCAGCAGCAGCAGGAGGCCCCATTAGCTAAAGCGGTGCTTCAGGTTAAGAACAGTTTCAGGCTAAGTACGGACCTCCGGAACGAATTAAGTACTTAACCCAAGGTACCACTGTAGTTGCAAACTCATGGCCACCCTGGCTTTTCAGAGAAGGGGGCAGAACCCTCTTCTCCCAGACTTGGGGGTCTTCTCCATGCATTAGCACCCCTCCCCCTGCAGCCCTGGGCCCCCCCTCCCCTCCCTTCTCTCCACTGCATCCTAAGGCAGAAAGGAGACTCGCCAGGTTCCAGGAGGCTCCACTGAGGCAGCCGTGGAGAAGCAGAGATGCAACAGCCATCCCCTTGCAGAAAGGGGCTTTTGCTCTGGAGGACCCTTCCCCCGCTTTCATTTCCTGCCTCTCTGGGAATCCAGCTCAGTTCCTTTGAACCCTTGCAAAGCTGAAGGCAGGCGGCTCTCCCCTCTCTCCCTCTGTGGTTTCTCTCTTGAAAGCAGGAGTCAACAAGAAGCCCCACACACTGCACTGCCTTCACTCCTAGGTGCTCTGGCACTGCCCACCCACCCCTGTGCCCCCTCCCCATTTTAGTCCAGATGCACAGCTCTGAGCTGGGTCTTGACTGGGTCTTTCATCAGACCACCGCTTTATTCCCGCTGCCACCTTGGGGAACTCTTATCTGAACACTTCACCCCTAACCTAGCAAAGGAGGTGATGTGTGGTGGAATGCAACTGATTTATTAAAACAAACACACAAGGGTTTCAAGATAATGTTGGGTACATAAACTTATGATTTCAAATGTTCCTGCTCCTTTTTTTGTCACCTGATTACAATGGGTGTTACAATGCTGTTTCTCTACTACTAGTCTAGCAACCCTGCTTGACAACAACCAGTACTCTCACACTGTCTCCACTGAAGAGGTTGCTGGAGAGGCCAGGGACCATCTTGAGAGATCTGCTCCTTGCCTTGCAGGCCTTTTCCACCTGGCTTGGGAAAGCAGGGTGTGACTGCTTGCTGTTGCTCCCAAGCACCTCTGAAGTACAACAAACAGAAAACTCTTTCTTCATCCTGGAAACAATCCTTTGCTTCTTGCATCCTCTCGGAATGTACTCTGAATAATCAAAGGACAGCAGGAAGGGAATCCTCAGCTTACGCTTCTCACAGAGGGAAGCCTGAAACTTCTGGCTTTTCTGGAAGATGTGTGTGTGTGTTGAGCAGAAACCAGAGCTTCAAGGGGACATGATCAACATCCTGGACGTGCTGAGGATGTCAGTGGCGGTCAGGAGCACCACATATTAGTAAACTGGAGGCTCCTGAAGTACATGAATTGCTTGTCAAATTGCAGACGTGACATGAAGCAGGTATTCAACCCCTTGCCCAGTGACTTGCACCTCACAGATCTGGCTAGGAAGAGATATTGGGCACTGAGGGTGTGTGCACTCAATTGTTTTGTGAGACAATGTCAATTTTTTGCTGGATTGTCACATGAGAAGAACACTGTTGCAACCCTCACCTGCATATTCATAAAGTGTCCTCAAATTAAATTCACACACAGCCATTGATATGGGGTTTCTCCCTGCCATGGGTTCTTTGAAGGGCCATTGAGATTGACCCTCTGACTGAAGCCCTTTCCACATTCCAAGCACTGATATAGTTTATCTGATATGGTACTGATATATTGGGAAATCAACACCACGGCTGGTGTGTTACTCCCTTCGAAGTGCCACTCGAGTGATTGATCTTCCTCCCGAGCCACCGGTGCAACAGATATCCGTAAGCATCTGCATGCAGTATCAACAGACAGTGAAAGTGAGGCTTGAGGCATGGATACGAAGCACTATGTTTATTATTTACAGGACAAAGGAAAACATGGCTCCTCTTACTGTCTTCATCAGCAAGAGAAGAGAAAAGCAAAAGCAGGGGGTTGGACTCGATGGCCCTTGTGGTCTCTTCCAACTCTATGATTCTATGATTCAATATCACGGAAATAGCGTATCTGAACTTCGTTCCCATGACATCCAACACTGTGGAATGTAAACACAGAAGCGTAACAGCAACAATCACACATCTGCAACACGGAGGAATGAAATTCCCACCAGTCTCACTGCTATGGCAGCGTATAGCAAATGGAAGAAAGGAGAAATCACAAAGGAGGAGTATACACGAGTAGCCAACAGTTGCGGGGCGGTCTAGGCAGACCAAAGCTCTGAATGAGCTCAGGCTTGGAAGAGAGATTGAAAATAATTTTAGAAGTTTTATTCAGCTATGTTCAAAGCAAGAGGAAGAACAAGCAAGTGGTAGGTCCTCTGCGTGGAAAGGACAGAGAAATGCTGTTGGGTGACTGAGAGAAGATGGAACCACTCAGCACCTACTTTGCGTCCGTCTTCCCCCAAAAGAAATCAGTGCCCTACCTGATGATAACAGAATCAATGATGCAAGGAGACAGCTGCAGCTGAAGATAGGAAAAGAGGTAGTAAGGGGACACCTAGCTACTATAAATGAATTCAGATCTCCAGAGCCTGCAGAGCCGCACCCAAGGGTATTAAAGGAGCTTGCAGATGGAAACTCAGAGCCTCCGTCTATAATCTTGGAGAATTCTTGGAGAACAGGTGAGATCCCTGCAGCCTGGAAGCATGCAAATGTCCTCACCTTCAAAAGGGGGAGGGGAGACCCAAGTGACTACTGACCGGTGAGCTTGACATCAATACCAGGAAAAGTCCTAGAACATATAATTCAGATGTCAGTCTGAGAGAACTTAGACTACTAAAACCCAGAATGGGTTTCTCAGAAATAAGTCATGCCAGACCAATATAATTTCTTTTTTTGATGGAGTAACAAGTTGGTCGACCAGGGGAATGCTGTGGACATAGTGTATCTTGAGTTCAGTAAGGCTTTTTGACTAAGTCCCCCATGATATTCTCATGAGGAACCTGTTACAATTGGGCTGAACGAGGTGACTGTTAGGTGGATTTGTAGCTGGTTGACTGACTGAACCCAAAGAGTACTCATTAATGGTTCCTCGTCATCCTGGAAAATAGTGACAAGTGGGGCCGCAGGGATCTGTCCCGGGCCCGTTGTTGTTCAACATCTTTATAAACAACTTAAATGAATGAACTGAGTGGATGCTCATCAAATTTGCAGATGGCACCAAACTGGGAGGGGTAGCTAATGCCACAGAAGACAGAATTGGAGAACTGGGAAAAAACTAACAAAATGAATTTCAATTGGGACAAACGTCAGGTTCCACACTTTGGCAGGAATAAACAGCTGCTTAAATATACAATGGGAGACACCCGGCTTGCCAATAGTAGATGTGAAAAGGATCTAGGGGTCTTAGTGGACTGCAAGCTTTACATGTGTGAACAATGATGCAGCAGCAGCAAAAAGATTCCTAATGCTATTCTAGGCTGCATCAACAAAAGAATAGTGTCCCGATCCTGTGAGACTTTTGATGGGAAGTGAGATTGCAGCTCTGGTAAAAGCTCTTTCCACATTCCATGCACTGATATGGCTTCTCCCCAGTATGAATCCTTTGATGAGCAGTGAGACTTCCCTTTTGACTGAAGCACTTTCCACACTCTTGGCACTGAAATGGTTTCTCCCCACGATGACTACTTTGATGCCGACGGAAGCTTACACTTGTATTAAAGCTCTTTCCACATTCCGTGCAGTGATAGGGTTTCTCCCCTGTATGAATTCTTTGATGGGAAGTGAGACTGGTGCTCCGACTGAAGCTCTTTCCACATTCCGTGCAGTGATAGGGTTTCTCCTCTGTATGAATTCTTTGGTGGGAAGTGAGACTTTCCTTCCAGGTGAAGCTTGTTCCACATTCCAAGCACTGATATGGTTTCTCCAATGTATGAATTCTTTGGTGGGAAGTGAGACTTTCCTTCTGCCTGAAGCTCTTTCCACACTCTTGGCACTGAAATGGTTTCTCCCCAGTGTGGATTCTTTGATGGCAAGTGAGACTCCACTTGGAATTGAAGCTCTTTCCACATTCCAAGCACTGATTTGGTTTCTTTCCGCTCTTAATTCTTTGATGGGAAGTGGAATGGGAACTCTGACTGAAGCTCTCTCCACGCTCCAAATATTTATATGGCTTCTCCACTGTGTGGATTTTGTCATGGTCTCCCTTATTAATTTTCAGTTCATCACCAATTTCCAATTCATTATCAGCTGTATCAAAAAGAGAAAGACGTTAGAGCACCAGGAAGAGATAGAGCTCCAAGCTATTATTATTTTTATTATTAATTTATTACCCATTGTCAGTTATAAAAGCATAGTAAATAGGCTGCCTAATAATAAAATTGTCATCATAATAACATTCCTCTCCTCCACACTTTTACAGGCCATAGATTAATAAACAATGGTAACTTACTAAAAGTCTTACTACAGGGTTCACTGACTTTTCTGACAAGCATTAACAGACATACTTATGTGAACCCGAGATTCAAAAACCCTGGCTCTTTTCTTTGATGGATTTTGTTTGATCTAATAATGGAATCCAATCCATCTCCCATGTCAGAAGTCTCTTTGGTCTACCAAGAACAGACAGAAAGAAGGAAAGACATGAGAACATAACAGAACCTAACCACTCTGAAGCCTACATTTAAAATGGTCAGGGCAGTTCAGACCAGCCAGATCATGGTTTAAATAGGCAAAATTGGAGGAAGAATATTCACAGATAAAACAGTAGAAAACTCTCCATTCACGGTTCACTGTGGGGCTGTCAAAATCCCAGATGTTGTAGGTCAGGCTTCCTCAACCTCAGCCCTCCAGATGTTTTGAGACTACAATTCCCAGCATGCCTTGCCACTGGTCCTGCTAGCTAGGGATCATGGGAGTTGTAGGCCAAAATCATCTGGAGGGCCGAGGTTGAAGAAGCCTGCTGTGGATGTTGTCGTTTAGCTCCATCAAAATACTTGAGGTTCATCTCATACAGATTCGTACTGAATTTCAAAACAGGTATCATGATCCAACAGGGAGCCTTACCGAGAGAGTCCATGATCCCATGATTCTCCCCCATGACTTCCTTATGCAGAGCTCTCTGGTCAGGATCCAGCAACGCCCACTCATCGTCTGTGAAATGAATAGCTACATCTTCAAAGCACACCGGACCCTAATATAAAAAGGGGAAAGTCTTCTTCTTAGAAAACATTATCTATCACACATTGCTTTGTTGTTTTCTGCCTGTTAATTGCTGTGTTCTTTTAATGGGATTGTTTCGTTGCACATTTTAATTATGGATGCCTCTTTTACATGTCTTTCATTGTGTCTTTTAATAATGGGTATTAATCTATGTGTAAATGGGTGGAGCTCCACATGGCGTTCCTCAAATCAGTCTGCGCAAGCGTCCCTGTTTCCCAGATGGAAGGATCCCTTTTCCTCTCCCCGTCTGCTGATCTGGAGGGGAAACCTCCCCAATGCCCTAACACCAACTTCAAGGGGGTGCAGGGGGTCACAGGAGGGGAAGGAGGGAGAAAGTGCAACTGATGGGGCTCATTTGGTGAATCCTGGCCACTATTATTTTTATGGTTGGAAGCCTATTTTAATATTAAATGGGAAATCAATAAATAAAACTAAAACTACAGATAAATAATACCAGCAATATTCATAAGGCCAGTTAAGGTGAGATGGTTGTTTATTAACCTTCTGGAATTGCATTTTAAGCCTTTGTTAAGGACAGGCATGACAGAAACCAAGATGAGGAGAGGGATTCATCCTGACCCAGAGGCACCTGGCTGCCCCGTCCCTCAGCCTCCTTCCCCACAATGCTCCTTCCTCCTACCTGAATTCTTTCCACAGCCACTGCTTCCCCTCCACCAGGAAAAGATGAATGAGGAGCTCTTGCCATCGTCCTTCTGTCAGCTGCAGAACAAAAAGGTAAGTGGGAAGTCTTAGTGCCTGCTTCTCAGAGGTATAAGCAGCACTGAATACAGAAGAGCCTTTCTAAAAGCCTCACCTGCTGAGTGAATGTTGATGTTTGTACCCATTTCATACGTTAGTTGTGCAAAAATACATCTCCCCTCCTTTGGGCTCTTGGCCCCAAATGATTAAAAGAACCTACAGAATAGTTCCAAAACGAACAGAATGTGAGCAAACAGAGAAAAAGCTCCTTCCTCCTTACCCAGTGGCCTCTCTCTGGCGTCCAACGGAGTCTTCTCTGCCTCAGGGGAATCCAGGCTCCTTTCTGTAAACAGATCCGTTCCCTGAAAGAGAAACAAGGATTCAAAACAGAGAATGGGAAGAAGGATTGGAAAAGGAATGGCTGAGGGGAAATAGGGGTATCTAATACCATTCACCTTCCAAAAATAGATGGGCCATTAGAAGAGAGTTTGGGGATACTCTCCCTTCTGTTCAGAGCCCCTTAGGATTACCTAGAGGAAAGTCTCTCTCACCTGCTGCTCTGCCTGCTTCCTCTCCTCTGCCTGACTCAGGAGGAAACCTTCGGCCAGGGCCACCGCCTGGGAACTGGTCTCCGCTCCACATTCCCTCACCCAGCTCTCCATCTGTGGTGGAAGGACAGTGAGGAACTGCTCCAAGATCACCAGGTCCAGCATCTCAGCTTTTGTATGCCTTTCTGGCTTCAACCACTGACGGTAAAGGTGGTGGAGTCGGCTGCAAACTTCTCGGGGTCCTTTGGCCTCTTGGTAGCAGAACTGCCTGAATTGCTGGCTCTGCAAATCTGAGCAGAGAGTGTCCTCCTCACCCAGGATCTTCTGCACAGAGTTTTCCCAGAATCCCCCACTGCTCCCAGTTTGGATAGCATAACCTCTTCCTGCTTCAGGGCCAGCTGAGTCTTGCTCATCCATCTGGGCTCCCAGGAAGTTTCCAAGATATCGGAACGAATCCCTTGGTCTTTTGCCAACAGGGGCTAGCAACTTCTACAAAGCAAATAGATTGTTCCATTATAAAATTGATACACGGTCAGGAGAATAAAAATGTTCCCTAAATTACGCATGGCTGAGTCTTGCTATGAACCAGGACCGGACTGCACCACAGCGCAGACTCTGGACTTCCTTTAACAAAAAAAGGAAGGAGAAGCAAGCCTCCAGATCAGGCATCCCCAAACTCGGCCCTCTAGATGTTTTGGGACTACAACTCCCATCATCCCTAGCTAACTGGACTAGTGGTCAGGGATGACGGGAATTGTAGTCCCAAAACATCTGGAGGGCCAAGTTTGGAGATGCCTGTTCTAGACCTGCCAGGAGGAATGTGATCATGCAAGATGTGCAGGCAGTTGAAGGGATTTCTGTGAGATGAAAAGCCTGGTTTCTTCCACCTTTCAGTGTTTTCAGTGAACGTAGGCAGTTAGAAGTGCGATTAAAGAGTCATTTGTACCGAGTGTAATTTGGACACTGGGCTAGACTTGGGCTGCTAACCCTGGGGTCCTCAAGAGTTGCTCTCCCTCCCACTCCAGTGCACATTTCTTTCCTGCTTCGGTCACTTTTTCTAACACTTGAAATCTGCAATGTTCTCAAGGCATACTACTTTGGTGGCGTCCTTTTGTCTTTGTTCTGAGGCCCAGATACACATGTTCAAAACTGGGCCTAAACCCCAGTTGAAACAGATCTGGAAAATCAATTCCCTCCAGGAACGCCTGGATCTGGTCCGTTATGAACCTCTCAAGAACCTTGCCCAATAAGGGGAGGCTGGCAACTGGCCTGCAGTTATTTGGATTTTCCAAATGCAGGGAGGGTTTCTTGAGATGTGGTTGGTTCTGCCCCCGCCTCCTTCAAGCAGGAAGGGACTACCCACTCATGCAGGGAGGCAATGACCACCTCCCTGGCCCAGCCAGCTGTCTCCTCCCTGCCATAATAATAATAATAATAATAATTTATACTCCGCCCATCTGGCTGGTTTTCCCCAGCCACTCTAGGCAGCTTCCAACCGAATATTAAAAACAATACAGCATCAGACATAAAAAACTTCCCTAAAAGTAAAATAGTTGTTTATTGCCTTGACATCTGCTGGGATGGTGTTCCACAAGGAAGCGCCACCACCAAGAAGGCCCTCTGCCTGGTTCCCTGTAACCTCACTTCTCGCAGCGAGGGAACCGCCAGAAGGCCCTTGGCGCTGGACCTCAGTGCTATTTCTTATCCTCCAAGAAGGACAAAGGTCCAGACTGCAAGTGGTTGCACTGACTGATCTGTGCACTTAGTCCACATCTGCGAGCCTCACTAACTGAAACTCATCCAACACAACAGGACTAGACTGGGCTCTGGACACCCCATGAGATTCATCTGCTGTTACAGCAAACTCAAGGTCTGGGTGGATTCAAGTGATTTTATCCTCAAAAGGATTTGCAAAAAAGTCACAGTGAGCGGCTGCCGACTGTAAAGGATTCCACACTACCTGGGTGGCACAATGAGGGTGCAATGGAAGCTTCTGTGATGCCTTCCCTGCCACTGGGTAGAGTCCATGATGAGCCCTCACCAGTGTCCGGTTGATTCAACCAGGTTTTCCCTCCACTCCGATATGAGGCATCTCCCAGCTTCTTTCCTTGCCCCAAGCACTGGAGTGTACCAGGTTTGACTCTGCACTGCATAAAGAAGCACTTTCTTTTCTTTGCCCTCCGTCTTCCAATGTTCCACATTATTATTATTATTATTATTGTTATTATTCATTTCACTTCTATACCGCTTTATATTTTTAAGAAAAATCTCAAAGCCGTTTACAGCATATTAAACATCAATAAAACAATCCAGAATCAAACATTTTTGAAGAAAGTCGGATATGAAGTATACAGTCAAAGCAACATAATTAACAGGGAGCTAAAATATTATCTTAAAAGATTTCAAAAGAAAACATTACAAAGGAGAAGGTCAACTACAGTATACATATGTAACACAAAGTTAACCAAAAAAATCTTAAACATTTCAAAACATTGCTAAGTGAAGTCAGATATAAAATACATATAAATTATTTGCATCACCCAATCACTCTATAATTCCACCGTAATCAGTTTTGCCTGACATATTTGCAAATACACTTATAACTGGGTGTTAAAGGTGGATCTGTATTGCAAGAAGTTCATTCATTCATTGCATAGGTCAGTTTTGGCAGGGGTTTTTTTGTTTTTGTTTTTGTCGTATGTGTTGTCTGAATGTTGAAGTCGGCTACGACCTCTGTTAATAAATGCGACTTTTTCATCCATCTTAATGGGGTTTATTTGCATGCTCTCTTTCCCTGACCCAAAGACCCTTCCCCCAAGTGGCAGGCAGCGGACAGAGCCAGAGAGAGGAGAGTTGCAGCGGAGCCACAGCAGAACTCTCCATCTGGCTTTGCAGAGAGGAAGGGGGCAGACGCCTCCCCTCCCCTGCAGCCCTGGGACCCCCTTCTCCCCAGGGCACCCTAAGGGGGGCAGAGAGGAGACTCACCGGCTCCCAGGAGGCGCCACCGACACGGCGCAGGCGCAGGGAAAAGACCACCTCTCCACACCCCGCCCCTGGCTCGGGAGGACCCTCCCCCCGCCTTCCTCTCCTCTCCTCTCTAGGAATCCAGCTCGGTCCTTTCAACCCTTGCAAAGCCGAGGGCGACAAAGCCTGCCTCTCTGCATACTGAGCTGTATTCTCTGGAAAGGGACCCGAGGGTCATCTAGTCCAACCCCCTCCAATGCAGGAGTTGCGCTCGCAGCCGTTCCTGGGTTAGCTCGAAGCGCCAACTTTCTGGTTAATTGCCAGACACACTGATTCATGGGGGGTTTTTTGGGGGGTAGTGGGGAACGGCACCCTCCTGGCTGGGTTCTGAGCGGCTTCCTCCCTTGCCCAGAAACAGGAGGAGGTGGAAAGGGATCTGCAAAGCAGGAAAGCCCTTAGAGAATCATAGAATCACATAGAGTGTGGGAATGTTGTGAGTGGAGGGAAGAGGCGGCGGCCTCCGCAAGATAGGCAGGGGAGGAGGAGGAGAAAGGCCAAATATGACATCATAAAATGTCAAAGGAAGAATAATAATAATAATATTTATTTATTTATTTATTTATACGCCACCCACCTGGCTGGGTTGCCCCAGAAACTCTGGGCAGCTTCCAACACATAAAAACATAATCAAACATCAAACATTAATAGTAACAATCTGATCCTCCTGAACAGTAGCTGCCAGGGCAACGAGCACCCAGTCATCTCACTCTCACGCCACATTCACCATGACCATTGAACAGAAAAGCAAGGGACATAAACACCTGTTTTCATTCCCAGCTGCACCCCGTAGACCTTGCTGGTTCAGAAAGCCAAAAGAAGACCAAAGTAGAAGGTGATCGGCTGCGGGAAGGGATCAACGTCAACAAAGGACTCCTCTGCTCCGCCTGGGGAATGCAACCAGCACTCTTGGGGAGGAAACCAAAAAGGGCAATTTTGTCCCTTACAGGGACTCCAAGTTAACACGCCTTTTGCAAGATTCCTTGGGAGGCAATAGCCACACCTTGATGGTTGCCCATGTAAGCCCAGCAGATTCCAACTTTGAAGAGACTATGCTATGCTGATAGGGCCAGAAAATTAAGAACGAGCTGATAGTGGACACTGACCCTCAGGCAGCAGAGATTGGCCAGCTAAAGTTGCAAGTCCTACTGCTGCAGACCACATGGAGGGACCCTTCCAGTCTCTGTGGGTAGTGGGCCCTCTGAAAAGGTGCAATCTCTGAAGGAGAAAAATCACTCCCTCATGGAGGAAAATGAGAAACTAAGCTGCAGCCTCAGTGAAGCAGCAGCCAGAAGCCCCAGATGCTGCGTCGATCAGGTATATGAAGACGAGCAGCAAAGTCAGTCCTCAGGGAATGTGCAGGCGACCTTGGAGCGGACAGCTCACGGAAGAACCCCGACCAAACCTAAGAGGAGGCGTGTAGTGGTGATAGGGATTCCCTACTGAGGGGAACAGAAGCAGTGATCTGTGGGCCTGACAAGATGTCTCGGGAAGTGTGCTGTCTCCCGGGGCTAAGATCCAAGATGTAACTGAACGACTGCAAGGAATCATAAAACCCACTGACAAATACCCCTTCCTCTTGGTTCATGTGGGAACCAATGACACTGCAAGCAATAGCCTCCAGAAGATCAAAAGAGACTACGAGGCTCTGGGCAGGAAATTGAAGCAATTAAATGCACAAATTGTGATCTCATCTGTCCTCCCAGTTGAACGACGTGGCCCAGGGAGAGAGGGGAAAATAGTGGAAGTGAACAGCTGGCTTCGCAAATGGTGTAAACAGGAACAGTTTGGATTCTTAGATCACGGACTGCAGTTTCTTGAAGATGGACTTCTGGCAAGCGATGGGCTGCACCTCACAACGGTTGGGAGAAATGTTTTTGCCAAAATCTCAGAAACCTCATCAGGAGGGCTTTAAACTGACTAATGTGGGGAGGGAGACAGTGCTCCTGAAGGTAGGAGTCTATCAATTGATGAAGATGATCATCCAAATGTCATAGACCAAATGGAGCAAACAGCACACAGACCTAGTGGTGGGAGGAAAAATCCTTAAATAAGAGTCACGGGGAATGATTAATGGACTTCAATGTCTGTACACTAATGCGCAAAGCATGGGAAATAAACAAGATGAGCTTGAGCTCTTGGTACAGCAAACTAAATATGACATAATAGGCATCACTGAAACCTGGTGGGATAAGTCCCACGATTGGAATGTAATAATGGGGGATACAATCTATTTCAGAGAAACAGACCAGACAAGAAAGGAGGAGGAGTGGCGTTATATGTCAGGGATGTGTATACCTGTGAAGAGATCCAAGATTTAGAACCTCAAAGCCAAAGTGAGAGCATTTGGGTCAAAATTAAGGGAGAGAAGAATAACAGTGACCTCATTGTGGGAGTTTACTATAGATCCCCAAGCCAAACGGAGGACATAGATGATGCCTTCCTGGAACAGATGGCCAAGCATGCAAAAGGAAGGGAGATAGTAGTAATGGGGACTTCAATTACCCGGATATTTGTTGGATGTCAAACTCAGCCAAGAGCATAAGGTCAAACAGATTCCTCACTGGCCTTGCAGACAACTTCATTGTCCAGAAAGTGGGAGAAGCAACAAGAGGAACAGCCATTTTAGATCTGGTCCTAACCAATGTTGATGACCTGGTTAGTGGGGTAGAAGTGGAAGGATCATTAGGCGCGAGTGATCATGCTCTTCTGAAGTTTACTATACAGCAGAAAGGAGCAGCCAAGCATACTAGGACTCAATTTCTTGACTTTAAGAAAGCTGACTTCATAAAACTTAGGGAAGTGCTGGGTGAGATCCCATGGGCAGTAATACTAAAAGGAAAGGGAGTTCATGATGGCTGGGAGTTTGTTAAGAGGGAGATACTAAAAGCACAACGTCAGGCAATACCAATGAGACAGAAACATGGAAGGTGCCTAAAGAAGCCAGGGTGGCTATCTAAAGAACTTTTAACTGAGTTAAGATTAAAAAAGGATGTGTACAAAAAATGGAAAAGGGGGGAAACCACCAAAGAGGAATTCAAACAAATAGCCAGCACGTGTAGACACAAAGTCAGAAAAGCTAAAGCACAGAATGAACTCAGGCTTGCTAGAGAGGTTAAAAGCAACAAAAAGGCTTTTATGGGTATGTCCGTAGCAAAAGGAAGAACAAAGAAACAGTGGGGTCACTCAGAGGAGAAGATGGTGAAATGCAAACAGGGGACACACAAAGGGCTGAACTCCTCAATGCCTTCTTTGCCTCAGTCTTCTCCGATAAAGAAAACAATGCCCGACCTGAAGAATTTGGATCAAATGATTCAGCAGAGGAAACACAGCCCAGAATAACTAAGGAGATAGTACAAGAATACTTGGCTAGTTTAGATGTATTCAAGTCTCCAGGGCCAGATGAACTGCATCCAAGAGTATTAAAAGAACTGGCAGATGTGATCTCAGAACCACTGGCAGTCATCTTTGAGAATTCCTGGAGAACAGGTGAAGTCCCGGCAGACTGGAGGAGAGCAAATGTTGTCCCTATTTTCAAAAAGGGGAAAAGAGAGGACCCAAATAATTACCGCCCAGTCAGTCTGACATCAATACCAGGGAAGATTCTGGAGCAGATCATTAAGCAAACAGTCTGTGAGCACCTAGAAAGGAATGCTGTGATCACCAATAGTCAGCATGGATTTCTGAAAAATAAGTCATGTCAGACTAACCTGATCTCGTTTTTTGACAGAATTACAAGCCTGGTAGATTAAGGGAACGCAGTGGATGTAGCCTACCTTGATTTCAGCAAGGCATTTGACAAGGTGCCTCATGATATTCTTGTAAAGAAGCTGGTAAAATGTGGTCTTGACTAGGCTACCACTCAGTGGATTTGTAACTGGCTGAGTGACCGAACCCAAAGGGTGCTCATCAATGGTTCCTCTTCATCCTGGAGAAGAGTGACTAGTGGGGTGCCACAGGGTTCTGTCTTGGGCCCGGTCTTATTCAACATCTTTATCAACGACTTGGATGATGGACTCAAGGGCATCCTGATCAAATTTGCAGATGACACCAAATTGGGAGAGGTGGCTAACACCCCAGAGGACAGGATCACACTTCAAAACGACCTTGACAGATTAGAGAACTGGGCCAAAACAAACAAGATGAATTTTAACAGGGAGAAATGTAAAGTATTGCACTTGGGCAAAAAAAATAAGAGGCACAAATACAAGATGGGGGACACCTGGCTTGAGAGCAGTACATGTGAAAAGGATCTAGGAGTCTTGGTTGACCACAAACTTGACATGAGCCAACAGTGTGACGCGGCAGCTAAAAAAGCCAATGCAATTCTGGGCTGCATCAATAGGAGTATAGCATCAAGATCAAGGGCAGTAATAGTGCCACTGTATTCTGCTCTGGTCAGACCTCACCTGGAGTACTGTGTCCAGTTCTGGGCACTACAGTTCAAGAAGGACACTGACAAACTGGAACGTGTCCAGAGGAGGGCAACCAAAATGGTCAAAGGCATGGAAACGATGCCTTATGAGGAACGGCTAAGGGAGCTGGGCATGTTTAGCCTGGAGAAGAGGAGGTTAAGGGGTGATATGATAGCCATGTTCAAATCTATAAAAGGATGTCACATAGAGGAGGGAGAAAGGTTGTTTTCTGCTGCTCCAGAGAAGCGGACACGGAGCAATGGATCCAAACTACAGGAAAGAAGATTCCACCTAAACATTAGGAAGAACTTCCTGACAGTAAGAGCTGTTCGACAGTGGAATTTGCTGCCAAGGAGTGTGGTGGAGTCTCCTTCTTTGGAGGTCTTTAAGCAGAGGCTTGACAACCATATGTCAGGAGTGCTCTGATGGTGTTTCCTGCTTGGCAGGGGGTTGGACTCGATGGCCCTTGTGGTCTCTTCCAACTCTATGATTCTATGATTCTATGATTCATTGTGAGGGAGCAGCAGAACGAAAAGATCAGCACAAAGCTGGAGAAGCTCCAGGAATGCACGGCGTTGAAACTTGACCAGAAGAAGCTGCTTAAACCAAAATTCAAAACGCCACAAAAACTCTTTAAAACATTTTAAAGCGTTTTCAGCATTTGTCCCAACTCTAGAGTTCGTTCCAGTGAGTCTGGGCTCTTCAAGATCTATAGCCAGGCAATGTCCCTCCAGCTTCCCAGGAGTATAAAGCAGAGCAGGGTGAGTCTGATTCCCGCCCCCTAGGCCAGGTGGGAAAAGGCCTTGCAGGGAGCGGCCTTCAAGACTCACAGCTGGGCAATCTTGGCCACCCTCCTCTGCACACCTTGCAGCTTGTCAACATCCTTCTTAAATTGTGGTGCCCAGAACTGCACCCAATATTCAAGGTGTGGTCTGACCAAGGCAGAATAGAGATGGACCATGACCTCCCTTGATCTGGACACTAGACATCTGTTGATGCAGCCTAGAATAGCATTCACTTTTTTTGCTGCTGCATCGCACAGTGGACTCGTGTTCAGCTTGTGCTCCATCAAGACCCCTAGATGCTTTTCAGATGTGCTGCTCGTAAGCCAGGTGTCCCACATCCTATATTTGTGCAGCTGCTTCTTCCTGCCTTAAGTGTAAAACCTGACATTTGTCCTATACTCTCCATGAGCTTTCCATGCTCCAGGTCATGGATTTCTTCACAGGTGTACCTACACATCCTTTGCAGAGAATGCTCCTCCTCCTCTTCCTGTTTAGTCTATTCCTTTTGAACTGGTTATACCTGTCGACTTGGAGCAAAGGTCCAAATAAAGCATTGTCCCCCCCCCCCGGCCAAATGCTCAGGAACAATGGGGTGGTAAGGGAGAAAGAAAAGCCCTACAGTCCAGCCATGAGTCTCTCGTCCCACCAGGTTTCAATGTGTTGGGGGGGGGGGGAGTTGCAGGTTTCTTCTGGTTCCAATTGCGTATTTTGTCCTTATGTTTTGTGTGTTTATTTCGCCTTTTACGCTGTGAACACCTCTTCATCTTTGGATACAAATGGTGACAATGAACCTGCCTGTGAGGTCATATTGTGCCTCTGTTATCAGGAGCTCGTATTCGTCTTGCTTTATCCTGCTGCTCTTTCAGGGACACACAAATAAAATTAATTCACAATAGGGACCATTGCGAGGAGCTGTAGGCTTTCCTAGACCTTTCACACATTTTACTCCCATTAACGTGTCCTGCTTCTTTCAGGGCTGTTCCTCCCCCACCTCCCCGCCTTTTCCAGCTCCAGCTAGTTTCCTGTCAGAGGAAAAAGGCGAGTCTCCCCCCCCCCCCTCAAAAGGAAGGGAGAAGGCGGGCTTCGAGCGGGAGAGTGGCAGCGAGGCTTCGCGCAGGCGCAGTGAGGAGCCCCCCCACGCTTCCACCACGGAGAGGCTCCAGAGTCCTAGAGCGGCGCTCCCTCCCATCCGCTAAGAGAGCCCTTTCTCCGCCAGCCGACCGAGAGCGCTCGCTTCCTGCTTCCGCCGGAAGTCAAGGTTGGGGAAGTTGTTCGAGGCGGCACCGGAGGGCTCGGTCACGGGACGGAGCGGCGGCGGCGGCGGCGATGGTGGGCGGCTCCCCCCCCGCGGGTGGGGGAGGGGAGGGCGCCCCCCCGCTGACCCCCCGCCCCCTGACACTCTCTCTCTCTCTCTCTCTCTCCCTCCCTCCCTCAGGCGGCGACGGCGGCGCTGACTCAGGGGCTGGAGCGGGTCCCCGACCAGACCGGCTACCTGGTCATCTGCGACGGGGCGGTGCTGGCGGTGAGGAGGGGCCTTGGCACCCGGAGGAGGAGGAGGAGGAGGAGACCCCCCTCTGGGCCAGGGCTCCCCTCTCTCTGGGAAGCAGAGCTCCTTATATGGGGGGGGGGGAGGCTGTTTAGGGAAGTTTGTAATGTTTCATCCTCTATTGTGTCTTTAATATTCGAGTGCGAGCCGCCCAGCCAGATGGGCGGGATATGAATAATAAATTATTATTATTATTATTATTCTCAGCCTGGCCGACCTCGCAGGGCTGTTGTCAGGGGAGAGTTAAATGCGGGTGGCAAAGCACATGGGCCGCCTTGGGATCCCCTTGCAGGGAGAAGAGGCGGGTGGCAGGGATGCCCCAAGATGCCTGCTGACAAAGGACTCCTCTTCTTTTTCTCCCTGCCCTGCCAGTCTTCGGGCGACCTGGAGAACGACGAGCGGACGGCCGGGGTGATCTCGGAGCTGGTGAACACGGCCTGCGCTTTCCGGCTGCCCCGCTGCCCCGAGGTGCCCTTCAGGCGTATCTCTGGTGAGAAGGGGGCAGACCCCCCCAGCACTCGCGGGCGGGCTTCCTCGGTGGGGCCTCCCTGGATACAAAGGGGAACGGGGCTGCATCCCACACTTTTGGTGGGGAAGGTCGGGGAGCCTGGATACCTCTTGGCCCCGATTGGCATCTGCTTTTCTCCCTCCCCCGTGTAGAGTTGAACTCGGAGCTTCCCTGATGCGCTCTGTTCTTACCCCCTTTCACCAAACCCTAAAGGAGAGCCAGGCGGGTGGTGGGGAGAGCTAGGATGGTGGGGAAGGAAGGCTCAGCACCCCTCCCCTGAGCCATGGCACCTGCCTTGCATGCAGAAGGTCCCATGGGGGCTCTCTGATGGCAACTCCAGGTATGTCTGCGGAGGACCCTATAGTGGATTCACTGCCAGTCAGTGAAGACAGAACTGGGCTCAATGGACTGAATGGTCTTCCTTGGGAGAAGCACCTTCCTGTCACTGAGCCTGACCTTCCTCAGAGGGATGTGAGGAGGAAATGGGGTGACCGCCCCATCAGTGAAGGAGTGGGGAGCAAGTGAGGTTGTTCTGCAGTGTGCTCTGTGTGGGGCTTCCTTGAAACTGCTGTCGGTGCAGGATGCTGCAGCGCAATTGCTGGTAGGAGTGAGGCCTTGTCAGCATTTAACACTTGTGCTCAGAAACCTGCGCTGGCTGCCCATTTCCTACCAGGCCAAGTTTAAGGTGGCACAATTAGAATGTAAAGCCCTTAACAACTTGGGACTGGTTTACCTGGGAGATCGCCTGAGCCCACATGTGCCAACCTGACCACTTAGGCTGGCTACAGGTGCCACATAATACGTGCACTGCAGTTGTACGAACTTGATCACTTAATGTGGCAGCGCCTAAACTCTGGAACTCCCTGCCTATGGATGCTAGGCAGATGCCTTTAGTTGCACTCTTCTCGATGCCTGCTAAAAAACATGCAAAACAAACCCGCCCTGGCGTTCACAGAATTGATGCCAGTTTAAATCAGTTTTTAGTCTATATTAACTCTTTGAAAGTTTAAAATTGCTGCTGTTAATCTTCCTCAGTGATAATATTATATACTGCTTTGAGGTTTTATTATAACCAGACTGTGTATAAATATATGAAAAAGTACATAAATGCACTCAAGCACCCTGCTGGGGGTCTCGTCTCTCCTAATACCCTTACTGGGGTCTCTCTCTCTTTCGTCCCCCCCAGTGGTGTTTGGGGAGCACTCCTTCCTCGTGACCATATCTGGTCAGAAGCTGTTTGTGGTGAAGAGGCAGAACAGCGTCCGGGAGCCTGTGATCGTCTGAACATGACCTGCCCGCTTCTGCTGTAACTGTGACTTTGGGAGTGGGGGACTCAAGGAGAGCTGGAGTGCAGGAACAAAGCACCTTCTTTTTTGTATGTGTGTGGGGCTCATCCCTGTGTTACTGGGTCACAAGAGGGCTGGCGGCTCCTTGGATGCGTTGTACATTCTGCTTAAAGGCTTTGTGCCGCTGGGGGTTTGCTCCACATAGCTGTGGGTGTGATGGCGGTATGTGAAATAAAGTTCTTTGAAAAGAGACAACTAACCTGGTGGACTAGCTGTTGAGTAGAATCGTGGAATTTTAGGGTTGGAATGGACCCCGGGGTCATCTAGCCCAGAACCCCTGACAGGTAGCCACCCAACCTCTCTTTCAAAATCTCCATGAAGGAGAGTTCACCACCTTCTGCGGCCATCGGACCATAGTGTTGGAAGGGACCCTGAGTGACATCTAGTCCAGCCACATGCAGTGCAGGAGTCAAGCAAAGAATCAGTGGCAAATGGCCTTCCAGCCTCTGCTTAAAAACCTCCAAGGGAAGAGGTTTCTCAGAGGTTCTCTGTTTCTCGTATGGCAGCAGAAGGGCCTGAGAGCGAAGGCAACCTGGGGGTCGGGAAATGGCCCCCCCCAAAAGGTCTGGATGTATCTGGGTAGCCTGGCTTGTTAGGTGATCAGCACAGCACCCATATAATAGCCTTGCCGCCCCCTTGGCCTGACTAGCCTCTTTTTAGCAATGGCCCCACATAAGTAAGATTAAATGAAGGTTTTGCTGGCAATGAAATAAGCTCAATACCACACCCAAGGAATGCAGAGAGATCAATCACAAACTAAACAACTCTCTATATGGCATTAAAAAAATACATTAACGATAATACATGACATTTCAACACCTTCTATACATAGAATCTTAAATAATACCTATCATGCCAAAATAATAACCACATAACAACAATATCTCAAAGCCAAACAGTTCAAATATTCCTGAAAGAAGTCCATGAGAATGACTGTGTAGACTTGTGCTGGTGCAATCCCAATGGAACTCACGACAATGAGATACCCAGATTTCAATCTCTTTTTGTGAATCTTCTGGTTGGCCTGTAAAGGAACTACCGGTATATAATGGCAATTTAGTGCTCCACCAAATAAATCAGCTCCGAAGTTAGAATGACACTTTGCTCTTTTTTGAAAAGGCTATACGCCTTGACATATATAGGGCCAAAGCCATTTGGGGCTTTAAAGATCAGCACCAACACATGGAATTGTGCTTGGAAATGTACTGGGAGCCAGTGTAGGTATTTCAGGACCGGTGTTATATGGTCCCGCTGCTCCCAATCAACAGTCTAGCTGCTGCGTTCTGGATTAGGTGTAGTTTCCGGGTCACCTTCAAAGATAGCCCCACGTAGAGCGCATTGCAGTAATGTTTATGGTTCCAATATGGACTCTCCATAAATGTTTTATGATTATTTTGGACACCTGAATGATTGTAATTATGATGAGTTAATAATAGCAGGGGACTTTTACAGTGGTTCCTGCCCACCTAGCAGTTCGAAAGCACCCCTAAGTGCAAGTAGATAAATAGGGACTGCTTTATAGCGGGAAGGTAAACGGCGTTTCCGTGTGCTGCGCTGGTGCTGGCTCGCCAGTTGCAGCTTCGTCACGCTGGCCACATGACCCGGAAGTGTTTTCGGATGGCGCCGGCTCCCGGCCTCTTGAGCGAGATGAGCGCGCAACCCTAGAGTCGGTCACGACTGGCCCGTACGGGCAGGGGTACCTTTACCTTTACAGTGGTACCTCAGGTTACATACGCTTCAGGTTACATACGCTTCAGGTTACAGACTCCGCTAACCCAGAAATAGTACCTCGGGTTAAGAACTTTGTGCTCCAGCGGCGCGGCAGCAGCAGGAGGCCCCATTAGCTAAAGTGGTGCTTCAGGTTAAGAACAGTTTCAGGTTAAGAACGGACCTCCGGAACGAATTAAGTACTTAACCTGAGGTACCACTGTAATTAAATATTATCCTATGCTAACCTAGATAGAAATACACCAACAAAGAAAAAGAATTAGTGAAGTTGGACAATAGGGAAACATGAATGAATTGAGTTTAATAGATCCTTGGCACTTGATTTATCCTGCTGTGATAATAATTTACCTCTATGCCACTGGCCCTTGCCCAGGTGAGGAAGCAAACCTTTAAATAACGATGAAACCAAGAGAGCAAACAAAAGTGTCCTGTTGGGACTTGGTTTATTAAAACTATTGCACAATAGGGCAGTTTTGCCAGCTAGAAAAGACTGCCCCAAAGGAACATTTGAACAAAGCTTTTATAGGGTTTTATACAAATAGCTGCTATACATCACAAAACATCACTGCATACATCAAAAGAGGTCACAGGTAAAGGAGAGTAAAAGTTCTGCCTCGACTCTGTTTTCAGCTCCCCTCATTTATCTTGGGGAACCCCAACCCTCAGGTTTCAGCTTTGGCACTTAGCCTCCAGTTGCCTTCAGTAAGGGGCAAATCGTCCTTCCATGTCCCTGGCACACTTCAAGGAGCCGCTTAATTAGCACTCCAGTTCTAATGCAAAACCTCCCTCCTTGGCTGGGCATTTGTGCCTTTCTAGTAATGCAAATACACCTCCCACAAGCCAGGGTCAGATCAGCATGGAATGCAGTGTAGACGTGTGGCGTGAGAGATCTGCAAACTGTAGGAGCATAAGAATCAAATCACTCATTGATACACTGATACGTAATCCCATAAAAGCATGAAACAACTAAAGCAAAATCTATACAATATGAAAAATTATTTAACTCTGCCAACAGAGAATATTCATTTTTCTCACATGTGCACAAGAATTTCTTTAGGTTTGATTGTTTTCTAATACCATCTTTCTTCCAACATATATTTCTCCCATGTATGACTTCTGTGATGGACTGAGATTGGCCCTCTCATTGAACTTCTTTCCGCATTCTCAGCACTCTTGTGGCTTCTCCCATGGATGAATTCTTAGACTGGAAGTGAGATGGGGGCTCAGACTGAAGCTTTCTCTACATTCCAACTAGTGATACAGTTTCTCCCCTGTACTAATTTTTTGATGGAAAGTGAGACTCATCTTGGAATTGAAGATGTTTCCACATTCTAAGGATTTAAAATGGTTCCTCCCTACTATGAGTTCTTTCATGTGAAGTGAGACTTCTCTTACGACTGAAGCTGTCTCCGCATTCCAAGCACTGATATAGTTTCTCCCCTGTATGGATTCTTTGATGTGAGGTGAGATTGGCCCTGTCACTAAAGCGCCTTCCACATTCCAAGCAAGGATATGGTTTCTCCCCTGTATGGATTCTTTGATGGGAAAGGAGATGGTGGCTGTGACTGAAGGTTTTTCCACATTCCAAGCACTGATACGGTTTCTCCCCTGTATGGATCCTTTGATGTGAGGCGAGATTATTGCTCTGACTGAAGCTCTTTCCACATTGCAAGCACTGATATGGCTTCTCCCCCGTATGAATTCTTTGATGCGAAGTGAGATTGGCCCTGTCACTAAAGCTCTTTCCACATTTGGAACAGGGATACGGTTTCTCCCCGGTATGAATTCTTTGATGGGAAGTGAGATGGGCACTTTGACGGAAGCTCTTTCCACATTCCAAGCAATAAAATAGTTGTTCCCTTGTATGAATTTTCTGAGGGGCTGTGAGATTGGACATCACTGTGAGGTTTTGTCCCCATTCTAAGCACTGATGTGGTTTCCCTTCTGTATGAATTCTCTGATGGGAAGTGAGATGGGCACTCTGACTGAAGCTCTTTCCACATTCCAAACACTTATAGGGTTTCCCCTCTATATGAATTATATGATGGGAAGTGAGATGGGCCCTTTTACTGAAGGTCTTCCCACATTCTGAGCACTGATATGGTTTCTCCCCTGTATGAATTCTTTGATGGGATGTGAGTTGGGCACTCTGAGTGAAGCTCTTTCCACATTCCCTGCACTGATACGGTTTGTCCCTGATATGAATTTTTTGATGGGCTGTGAGATTTGACTTCACACTAAAGCTCTTTCCACATTCTGAGCACTGATGTGGTTTCTCCCCTGTATGAATTCTTTCGTGGGAAGTGAGATGGGCACACTGAGTGAAGCTCTTTCCACATTCCATGCACAGATATGGTTTCTCCCCTCTATGAATTCTTTGATGGGAAGTCAGACTATCCTTCCGACTAAAGTTCTTTCTACATTCCAAGCACTGATAGGGTTTCCTCCCAAAGGGATTTATTTGATGGGAAATGGAAATGAAGTGGTGACTGAAGCTCTCTCCATGCTCCAAATGTTTATATGGCTTCTGCACTGTGTGGATTTTATCATGGTCCCTCTTGTTCTTAATTTCCATTTCACCACTACCTGAAACAAAAATAGAAACAGATTAGAGCCTGAGGTCTTGGTCTTTCCAGTTCTTAATTTCCAATTCATCACCACCTGGAACGGAAAGAGAAATGGATTACATCCAGATTACAGGAAGAAATGCAGCTCAAATTATTGAACAATGCTAATTAACACTTGTGATACAGGAAGAACTGAAGGGAATTAGGAAGTCTCACTACATGGATCACCACATTTGTTGAAAGGCATTAGCTAACATATTTATGGGAACCTGAGGTTTGAAAAGCCTGGCTATTTTCCGGAGTGGACTTTGCTTGGTCCAGTCATGGATTCAACACCAATTTCCAATGCCAGTCATCTCTTTAGTCAACTGAAATTGGACAGAAGCAAAATAATAATAATAATAATAATAAATCTGACAGAAACTACCACCTCCTTCCTAACCAGCCCAGCCCAATCATTTTAATCTTACTATCTTCTATAAAAAAGCAAAACTGGAGGGGGGGGGGAGTTTCCAAATCGCCACTGCTGGAGGTCGTGCTCTTAAGCTCCATCAGAATATTGGAGGCTCATCACATAGAGGTATGAATTGAATTTCAAAACAGATAATATGATCTGACAGGGAGCCTTACCAAGAGAGGCCACGATCCCACGATTCTCCTCCATGACTTCTTTATGCAGAGCTCTCTGGTCAGGATCCAGCATGGCCCACTCCTCGCCTGTGAAATGGACAGTGACATCTTCAAAGCAGACTGGACCCTAAAATAAAAAGAGAAAATCCTCTTCTTAGACAGAATGGCTGTGTTGTTTTAAGGGGGTGTTTGGCTTCTTTTTCTAACCACTTAATGGAATTATTTTATTGTGTACTTTAATGATGAGTATTTTAACGATTAGATTAGGGATGTGGGTTAAGCCACAGAGCCTAGGACTTGCCGATCGGAAGGTCAGCGGTTTGAATCCCCGTGACGGGGTGAGCTCCTGTTGCCCGGTCCCTGCTCCTGCCAACCTAGCAGTTTGAAAGCACGTCAAAGTGCAAGCAGATAAATAGGTACCGCTCTGGCAGGATGGTAAACGGTGTTTCTGTGCACTGCTCTGGTTCGCCAGAAGCGGCTTAGTCACGCTGGCCACATGACCCGGAAGCTGTACGTCGGCTCCCTTGGCCAATAAAGCGAGATGAGCATTGCAACCCCAGAGTTGTTCGCTACTGGACTTAACTGACAGGGGTACCTTTACCTATTTTAACAATGGGTACTACTTTTGATGTAAATGGGTGGAACTCTGCACTGTGTTCTTCAACTCATGCTGTCTCTGTAAGTGTTCGTTTGCCAGATGGAAGGACCTCCCCTCTCCTCTCCCTGTGCACTGTTCAGTGTTCAGGGGACCCTCCTGCTGCTCTATTGCCAACCTCAAGGGGGGCATCGGAAGGAAACCCCATTGTGCACCTGGTGGGGCTGTTTAGGTGAACCCTGGTCAATGTTTTGGATACTTTGTCAACTGCTTAGAAGCCTATTTTAGCATTCAACAATCAATATAGAAATTAAACTGCAACTACTGATAAATAATGCTAGCAACATTCAGAAGCCTAGTTAAGTGGAGGTGGCTGTTCATTACTCTCAGGGAGATTCGCTCAGCCCCAGAGGCATCCTGGCTGCCCCACCCTCAGCCTCTTTCCCCACAATGCTCCTTCCTGCTACCTGATCTGGTTCCATAGCTGCTGCTTCCCTTCCACCACCATTAAAAGATGGATGGGAAGGTCTTTCCAGCACCATTCTGTCACCTGCAAGAGACAAAGGTAAACAAGAAGCCATGAGTGCATGCTTCTGTCAGAGCTGAAGCTATGCCGCTCTAACTGCAGATGGTGCATGCATTTGGACATTTGGACACATTTCATATTTTAGCTATGTAAAAATACATCTCCCCTCCTTTGGGCTCTTGGCCCCAAGTGTCTCTCCAAAAAGATGGAGAAAAAACACACATTAGTTACAAAATACACACAATGTTATCAAAGAGATGGAAAAATTAATTTATTCTTACTCAGTGGCCTCTCTTCAGTCATCAATGGAATCCTCTCTGCCTCAAAGTGATTGGCGCTCATTTCTGCAAATTGATATTTCCCCTGAAATAGCAACAAAGATTAAAACAGGAAATGGGAAGAACGCCTAGAAGTGGAATGGCAGAGGCAAAACCTTTTGGGGCATCAGAGATAATTCCTTGGAAGCTTAAAAAAAAAAGTAGAGCTATTTTGGATACTCTGCCTCCTGTTTGGAGCCCCTTGGGAGAATCCAGAGGACAGTCTCTCTCACCTGCTGCTCTGCCTGCTTCCTCTCCTCTGCCTGACTCAGGAGGAATCCTTCGGCCAGGGCCACCGCCTGGGAACTGGTCTCCGCTCCACATTCCCTCACCCAGCTCTCCATCTGTGGTGGAAGGACAGCCAAGAACTGCTCCAAGACCACCAGGTCCAGCATCTCAGCTTTCGTGTGCCTTTCTGGCTTCAGCCACTGATGGCAAAGGTGGTGGAGTCGGCTGCAAACCTCACGGGGTTCTTTGGTCTCCTGGTGGCACATCTGCCTAAATTGCTGGTTCTGCACATCTGAGCGGAGAGTGTCCTCCTCACCCAGGATCTTCTGCACTGAGTTTTCCCATAATCCCCCACTGCTCTCAGTTTCCATGGCATGGCCTCTTCCTGCTTCAGGGCCAGCTGAGTCTGGCTCATCCATCTGGGCTCTCAAGAAGCCTCCAAGAGATCAGAAGGAATCCTTTGGTCTTCTGCCAAGTTCTGTCTGTCCAAATCAGAAGTGATACCAAATTCTACAAAGCAAAGAAAGAGGGTTGGACATCACTCTCTCCCTCCCCCACTTCAGTCCACATTTCTTTCCTGCTTCATTTTCTAGCACTGGGAATCGACAATGTATTCAAGAAAAACTACAGGGTCAGGACGCCCTTTTCTTTGTTCTTAGGGCCAGATCCAACCCCCCTGAGGGCCAAGTGGGTGATGCCAAAGAATAGCCGTGAAAAGTGAGTAAAGTAGGACTCACCTCCTTTCTGCAAGTTGTTTTAAGCTGTTTTTGATATTGTGTTTTAATGTGGTTTTCTGCCGTGGGAATCTAGGGTGAAGGGCAGGTAATTAATGATGACGATGTTACACGACTTAGCCCCCACACAGCCAGATATGCTTGAGGGTCCTCTGGGGTCCACCATGGTCCCTTGAGGCTCAGGGGGGCTCAGTGACTAGGAGTGACCAGTTCCAGTTCCGGCCAGCTGAGCAGCCACAGTGGGACAGAGATGCCAGGCGCAGATGGCATTATTGCAGTGCCCTGTAGGTGGGCATTTCCTTCACAAAAAAAGACAGAGAGTTTGCCCTTCGCCTTCTCCCCATTGCAGCCTCACTTGGGGGGGGTCCCCCTTGCATAAGCTGAACAGCCCCCCTCCATGCACCCTCCCCTGCAGCCCTGGGACCCCCTTCTCCCCAGTGCACCCTAAGTGGGGAGAGAGAGGAGACTCACCAGGTCCCAGGCAGAAGGGGCTGTCAAAATATGCACTGGGGAGGGAGGGGCTTTTGCACTGGAGGACTTCTCCCCTCTTGCATCTCCTCTCCTCTCTAGGAATCCAGCCCCGTTGCTTTTAACCCTTGGCAAGCCGAGCACCCCGAGCTCACTCCTCTTTTCTCGTCTCTCTGCAAAGCAAGAGCCCAGGAGGAAAGCAGCGCATTGCGCACACTCAGTAAAACCTCTCTGGGCGGGTGCCAAGGGCGGGGCTGCTCCCCATTCATCATTTCTAGATGGGGGGGGCTGAGCTCGGGGCGCTCCGCTTTGCAAGGGTTGCCGGGAAGTGAGCGGGACTCCGAGAGAGTAGAGGAAAGGAAGGAGGGGGTGGGACCAGGTCCTCCCCCCCCCGCAAGGCCCCTCCCCTCCCTCCCTCCCTCCCTCCCGTCATTTCCTGCAAGCGGGGGAAGCGGGGGGAGTTTCGCCTGCAAGGGGGCGCCTCCCGGGATGCGGTGAGCCTCCTCTCCCCCCCACCCCCTTGGGAGAAAGGGGTCCCAGGGCTGCAGCGGGGGGGTGCATGGGGGGGTCAGGGAGAGGAGGGGGCGAGCTGGCCACGGGGGTCTCCCTTGGGAAAGATGGGCAGAGCTGGCAGCCAGGGGGAAAGATTCTCAGCAGCTCCCCTTCCCAGACTGCGGGGTCCTGGGGGTCCTGGGGTCAGAGTCCTTGGGAAAGAGGGGCAGGGGCCAGGGGGGCCTCTGGGGGGAGGGTATGCCCCAGCCCAGGAACTCCCACCAGGATGCCCTTTCTGGGGCCCCCCAAACACAAGAGGACCCCCTCTGCCAGCCTCCCCACCCCAGAGGGTCTGAAGGGAAGGAGGCGCTTCTTCAGATTGGGGGGGGGTCTAAGTGAACCCTCAGGGGAGCCCCTTCAATAGAATGGACAACCAATGCAGCTGTTTTAAAACCGGAATACAGTGGAACCCCGGGTTACATACGCTTCAGGTTACAGACTCCGCTAACCCAGAAATAGTACCTCGGATTAAGAACTTTGCTTCAGGATGAGAAGAGAAATCGTGCTCCGGCAGCGCGGCAGCAGCAGGAGGCCCCATTAGCTAAAGTGGTGCTTCAGGTTAAGAACAGTTTCAGGAGGTCCGGAACGAATTAAGAACTTAATCCGAGGTACCACCGTATTGGGATGCTTAGCTGGTGATATACTGTACTACGATGTTGAAAAGCAGGCATCGTCCGGCCCTAAAAAAGATGCCAGACTAATTAGAAAAGGTACTTGATGATGCCATCAATATTATTTTATAAAAAACACCTTGAACTTTGAATTATAGGATTTTAATAAAATAAGAATGATAATAATATCAATTTTATACAAGAAAGACGTATTCCTTTGTAGGATTTGCTAACCGCTGTAATAAGGACAGACAGAACTTAGAAGAAGGCCAAGGGGTTCCTTCCGATTTCTTGGAGGCTTCCTGAGAACACAGATGGATGAGCAAGACTCAGCCGGCCCTGAAGCAGGAAGGGGTCATGCCATCAACACTGGGAGCAGTGAAGGATTCTGGGAAAGCTCTGTGCAGAATATCCTGGGTGAGGAGGACACCCTCCACTCTGATATGAAGAGCCAGCAGTTCAGGCAGTTCTGCTACCAGGAGGCCAAAGGACCCCGAGAAGTTTGCAGCCGGCTCCACCACCTTTGCCATCAGTGGCTGAAGCCAGAAAGGCACACGAAAGCTCAGATGCTGGACCTGGTGGTCTTGGAGCAGTTCCTGGCTGTCCTTCCGCCAGAGATGGAGAGCTGGGTGAGGGAATGTGGAGCAGAGACCAGTTCCCAGGCGGTGGCCCTGGCTGAAGGTTTCCTCCTGAGTCAGGCAGAGGAGAGGAAGCAGGCAGAGCAGCAGGTGAGAGAGACTGTCCTCTGGATGCTCCAAAGGGGGTCTGAACAGGAGGAAGAGTATCCTGAAATCCTCTACTAAGCTTTTGGAAAGCATCCCCAAATGGTTTTCCCTTTGCCATTCCTTTTCTAATATTTCTCTCCATCCTCTGTTCTGAATCCCTGTTGCTCTTTCAGGGAAAGATTATCTTTGCAGAAATGGGTCTGGATTCCTCTGAGGCAGAGAAGACTCCGTTGGTCAGGAGAGAGAGGCCGCTGGGTAAGGAGGAAGGAGCTTTTTCTCCCTTTGGTCGCATTTTATGGATTTAGGAACTCATCTGTGGGTTCTTTTCATCTTTTGGGGGGAAGACACTTGGGGCCAAGAGAAGGCCCTCTGCCTGGTTCTCTGTAGCTTTACTCCTCGCAGTGAGGGAACTGCCAGAAGGCCCTTGGAGCTGGACCTCAGTGTCCGGGCTGAACGATTGGTGTGGAGACGCTCCTTCAGGTCTACAGGGCCGAGGCTGTTTAGGGCTTCAAAGGTCAATACCAACATGTTGAATTGTGCTTGGAAACATACTAGGAGCCAGTGTAGGTCTTTCAGGGCCAGTGATATATGGTCCCAGCAGCTGCTTCCAGTCACCAGTCTGGTAGCCTCATTCTGTATTAGTTTCTGAGTCCCCTTCAAAGGTACCCACGCATAGAGCGCACCATCTGTAGTTAGAGGTGCACTGCTTCACCTCGAAGAAAAGCATGTGCTAATGGCCTGCCACCTCCCTTTGTCTCTCACAGGTGACAGAATGATGCTGGCAAGACCTCTTCTTCCATCTTTGCATGGAGGCAGAGGAGAAACATCAGCTCTGGAACCAGATCAGGTAGGGAGAAGGAGCATTGTGGGAAAAGAGGCTCCTGCTCTTGACTTTGTAGGATATGAAACCCAAGAGCAGTCAAGTACAACATTCCTAGAGTGAACATGTTTACACATGGGGAGGAATGTTTGTCCAGCCAGCAGGTAAACTTCCTGTTTCCTTCTGGACTGGGACAGACTTCCTCTGCATGTGACCAGAGGTGGGTGTGGCCTCACGTGCAGGTAGCGACAAAAGCACAGGGCAGGGCAGCCATCTCTCTCTCTACGACTACCTGCATCGAAGAAACAACGTCTGCTTAGCCAAAGATGCCCTCTTGCCTTCCAGCCAAGAGAGGACAAAGGGACTGTCTTCTTATGAGATAGTTTCCAGGTGCATGTTACTTCATTAAGCTAAGTCTGCCTTCTGGGATCTGAATGTGAGCAAACTCTTTTTTATACTTTTGTAGAAGACTGTGTCATGTCTTATCTTTTATGAGGGAATAAGGGGAAAATACCAGAACAGTTATTATACAGGCTTTAGCGAGCCTGAGCAAACGGATCCTCTGCAAAGTTTAAAAATAAGGGGAATGTTAACACAAGTTAGATAAGGATATAATCAGACAATATATCCTTTCCTGCATCCCTGAACATTCCCACAGACTTCTGTCAAAATTGTCCTTAACAAAGGCTGTAAAGGCCACTCCAGAAGGTTAAGTTCAGAGAATGATTAACAATCACCTCACGTTCACTAGCCTTCTGAATGATGCTAGTATTATCTATCAGTAGCTTCAGTTTTATTTACCAATTTAACATTTAATACTAAGATAGGCTTCTCAACAGCTGACAAACCATAAAAAAGAGTGGCCAGAATTCACCCAACGAGTCCCATCAGTTGCACTATAGGGCTTTCCCCCTCCTTCCCCTCCCTGTGACCCCCTGCAACCCTGAAGTTGGCTGGAGGGCATGGTGAAGGTTTCCCCCTCCAGAACAGTAGAGGGGGAGAGGAAAGGGGGGAATGTTGAGCAGAGAGAAGGATCTGAAGAACACCAGGTGGAGTTCCACCCATTTACACAAAGATGAATATCCATCAATAAAATACACAATAAAACAATTCCATTAAGAGGTTAAAACGTACATCCATAATTAAAATGTACAGCCAGACAATCCCATTAAAACCATACGGCAACAAACAGACACAAAACAACAAAACAATGTGTAGAAGATTATATTTCTGCTGCCTGAGAGCAAGACTTTTCTCTTCTTCTTTTAGGGTCTGCTGTGCTTTGAAGATGTAGCTGTTCGTTTCGCAGACGAGGAGTGGGCGTTGCTGGATCCTGACCAGAGAGCTCTGCATAAGGAAGTCATGGAGGAGAATCGTGGGATCATCAACTCTCTCAGTAAGGCTCCCTGTTGGATCATGATGTCTGTTTTGGAATTTAAGATCCCTTGGGAAGAATCTGGGAGAGGAGGAGACTTAGTCAGTTGTGGGAAGGCAGGGCCTTCAGTCCCCACAACTGGCTCATAGGGGCCAGACCCAGAGGGAATTATTGCTGTGCTCACTAGGCCTGACACTTCTGAGCAGCCTGTTGCTTCTCATAAAGAGTTAACTTCACTTACTCGGTGTGATTTATTGCTGCCCCACTCCTGACACTCAGGTTCCATAAATATGTTCATTAATGCCTGTCAACAAAAGCAGTGAAGCCTGTTGTAAGGCTTTCTTTTAATTCCCTTCAGTTCTTCCTGTGTCCCAAGCATTAATTAGCAAAGTTCAATAACCGAGGGTTGCGTTTCTCCCTCAGGCTGTGATCGGTTTCTTTCTTTGTTGCAGATGGTGATGAATTAGAGATTAAGAACCAGGGAGACCATGACCATGTCTACACCATAGAGAAGCAATGTAAATATTCTGAGTGTAGAGAGAACTTCAGTCAAAGCTCCCTCCGAAGAAATCCATTGGGGAAGAAATCCTATCAGTGCTTGGAATGTGCGAAGAGCTTCAGTCGGAAAGAGAGTCTCACTTCCCATCAAAGAATTCATACAGGAGAGAAACCATATCAGTGCTTGGAATGTGGGAAGAGCTTCAGTCGGAAATTCAATCTCACAGTCCATGAAAGAATTCATACAGGAGAGAAACCATATCAATGCTTGGAATGTGGACAGAGTTTCACCTGGAAGGAAGGTCTCACTTCCCATCAAAGGATTCATACAGGGGAGAAACCGTATCAGTGCTTGGAATGTGGAAAGAGCTTCAACCGGAAGGAAAGTCTCACTTCCCATCAAAGAATTCATACAGGAGAGAAACCGTATCAGTGCTTGGAATGTGGAAAGAGGTTCACCCGGAAGTTCGATCTCATAGTCCATGAAAGAATTCATACAGGAGAGAAACCATATCAATGCTTGGAATGTGGACAGAGTTTCACCTGGAAGGAAGGTCTCACTTCCCATCAAAGGATTCATACAGGGGGGAAACCGTATCAGTGCTTGGAATGTGGAAAGAGCTTCAACCGGAAGGAAAGTCTCACTTCCCATCAAAGAATTCATACAGGAGAGACACCGTATCAGTGCTTGGAATGTGGAAAGAGGTTCACCCGGAAGTTCTATCTCATAGTCCATGAAAGAATTCATACAGGAGAGAAACCATATCAATGCTTGGAATGTGGACAGAGTTTCACCTGGAAGGAAGGTCTCACTTCCCATC